CTGAGGCATTTTTTTTTCTTTTTAAAGAAGATATAATTATAAAGTAAACTTGTCTCCCAGAGACTGACAAAATCTCTAGGCCTTGATTTAGATTACTGTGGGTCTTTAAAGCTATAGTTAGAAAGCCACTTATCGGAATGATGAGTTAATGGCCCAGTCTGGACAAGATACGAATAAGCCTGCTCACACCCATCTCCTCTTCCTGCAGAGTGCAAGCAAAAATCCCCCACAAAGTTACTACATCATTTCTCAATTTGTCTGGACTAGGAGGGGGAACTGATTAGCTCTGGAGCAAGCCAAGACAAACCAGCTTGAAACTATGGTTTATTTTGCCCAAAGTTTGGGCAAAATGGGAAACTATGTTTAATTAGAGACTTCCTGGCTTGTAATGTGAAATGGGAATTGTATGTTTCTTGCTCAGAATAGGCTGTTAACTCATAACTCTGGCAAGAGATTTCCTAAGCATAGCTTTGAAGACCTGTAACAATCTAGTTTATCTTTTTGATCATACTTGGCAGGAGTGAAGGAACCTTCTGTGTGGGCAAAAGCCGTGTTCATATCTCTGCTTATAAAGCTGAGAAAAGCTCCAAACATGGTCCGTGTTTTCTCCTCTTTATTACCTTGCTAAGAACTGCAAGGAAGCCCCTTGGAGGGAGGCCAAGGGAGTAACTGTTCCTGTGCTATATGAATGGCTCATCAAAGGTGTTCTAGCGGAGGCCGTGTGTGTTGCGTGTGTGCCAAAACCAACTACGGCTCGCATGAAGAAATGTTCACTCACTCAGATGTGCTTGCTGCAGGCGGAAAACCCACATTTGCTTCATGTGCAGCTTACTGTTGGAGATAAATACTTTTTGAAGTGAAATAAACACCTTTGCCCTTTTTGCATGTATGAGCACTGCACAACGTATTTCTTAATTAATCTGCCAGGTATATTTTTGTATTGTGTGTGTGTGTGTGTGTGTGTGTGTGTGTGAGAGAGAGAGAGAGAGAGAGAGAGAGAGAGAGAGAATGAATGTGAATGCAGCTCAACCTTGACAAAATCTCCATGCAGATATACTTAGTCTATTTATCTCTGTGTTTAAAATAACTGCCTAAAAAGCACACACGCTGCCTTACAGCAAACATCAGCATACAATTTAAGATAAGACAGTATAATAACTTAAAATCAGTATAAAATCTTGCAACAACAGGACCAGATAAAGCCAAAGTAGCACATATAAAATGTAATTGAAACCGAAGGCCTTCTGAAATTTTCACTGTCTGGCTGAATATTGCCTAAAGGTACCCTTGGACACTTCTTGAAGAGGGCCTTGATGTTGATTACAGACTGTAGGTCTCAAGGAATGTACAGTTTCCAGCTTCCATATTTTCGGGCTACAGCCTTAGGCTGGCTTTGGAAAAATAACACCAAAATGTATATTATCCAAAGAGTCCCTCTCACTTCTGCTTTTTTGTTTCTTTGCAGAGTATATTCTGAAAGGGAAACTAGCATAGCTGGAGACTTTCCATTTCTCTGTGCAGCTTACAAAGAGTTTCCTCTTTGGCTCTTACAAGTGTGGGGCAGAAGTAAACATGCGAAGTTGTTGGTGTATCTGCTTTTTGCCATGCTCTGCAACACCTACAGCTTCTGCATGTGCAAATTCCCATTTTACAGACGGGGGGTTGTCCTGGTTCCTGTACACCTGGACTGAGCATATGGCAAGGAGCTGCACAGCTGAGGCCGCCAAGCCTCCCCTTCACATGTTAAGGTTTACGGTGGGACACAGTGTTCGTTTGTCTTTATAATCAAAGCCAGTGTGTTTGGAATTTCTGCTTCTGGTGACAGCCAACGTTAATAAACATGTAGTCCATGACATCTGGTGTGCCCTGATAAAATGTACACTGACCTTAATCCATTGTGCAAACAAACCCGTGTAATTCACAGGTTCTCAGTTTGTAACGACAGTTTTACGGAAGGCTGCAGATGTTCGCCAAGAAGGCGAGTACAGATGTTTGTGATGTCGCCACAAAAAATGGTGGAATAACCCTGCACTCAGAGGTCTACATCCATCTGACCGTAAAATAAAATAAATCTGCCAGGCTTGAAAAGTGATATCGCAGGGTCTTTCATATCATCCCAAAATTTGCATTAAATCAACTTGTGAGATAAGTGAGCTTGACATGGCACCTGTTCAGCCTACAAATCCCATCGTCCCTCACCGTTGGCTGTGCTGGCTAGATCTGATGGGAACTGTCAGCTGAAACATCTCGAGTGCTCCAAATTCCCACCCCTGCATTGGCAATTCAGATCAGAGTAAACAAAGACGTTAACAGCTTTAGAACTGAAGAGACATCCTAAAATGAAACTATTTGATATCCCTTTAATCTTAGCCTACCTAGAATACTTCACTTAGACTCAGTGATACAGTGCAGCTGTAGTCCCATTTATTTCAGTGGGTCTAATCTAAGTGTTGCTAAGTACATATTCCATCATATATGTTTGCGATGTTAAGACACTGCAGACTTTCAGTGTTCTTTTAGGTAGGTTTAAAAATAGTGTGGACTCAAAGGCTTCTTGACCCAAACCTTTCCCTTTTATCTGAAATATAGGACAATTTGGTGCAATTTATTTCACGGGGTCAGCTGGCTAAACTCTGCAACAAATCTTTAAGTTATGGTGTACTAAACTAGCCTATTTCTTTGTGTCTGTGCATTTCATGTCCTTTCTTTTACATATGCTTGTGAATTGGCTTGGGAAACTGTTCCGTGAAGAGCTGATTCCGTTGCAAAAGAAACTGCTAGGATCATGATATGAATATTGTGATGCAGTCTTCTTATGTTCGGGGAAACAAGCCAGAAATGGTTTGTCCTTGGGAGCAAGCAGTGCCCACTTCCCCTTTGGATTAAAAGTAAAGGGAGAAAGCTCTCTGTTTGGAATTGTGGGGGCAGGGTGCAAGTCTTCCGGATACAGCCAGTGATGCTGCCTCCTCAGAAAGACTGAGTTGCGCTAGGATTTTCCTGGCACAGCCACTGTGGAAAACCTCAGCTCATCAGCGTCTTCCAGGAATGTAACTCTGCTCTCTGGGCCCTTGGTGGTTTCAATGAAAACTAGAGGGAGATGTTACCCAGTTCCCTCAGTCTCTCCTCATACGGCATCCCCTGCAAACCGGCCACCAATCTTGTGGCCCTACGCCGCACTGACTCCAACCTGGCTATATCCATCCTGTAATGAGGGGCCCAAAACTGAGCACAATACTCCAGTTGCGGGTGCACCAGAGTCGTGCAGAGTGGCAGTAATACCTCTCTCGATCTAGAAGCCACACGTCTGGCTATGCAACCAAGGGTGGCGTTCACCCTCTTGACCACCTCATCACTCTGCTGACTCACGTTCAGCCTGCACTCAACCAGCACCCAGAGGTCCCTTTCACAAGTGCTGCTCTCCAGCCACTTGTCCCCTGACCGGTAAGAAATGTACCCTCCATCCCTGAGGAAAGTGACTGCTGAAGAAGCTGCCTTTGGAGGGCCGACAAGCCATCGTTTTTCACCGTCCAGTGGCTTTCACAACTTACCCATAAAGGAGTTGTATTCCAGTATGACTTGGCATGTTATGATCACAGGCATCTTGGTTCTTGGGGCTGCAATGGGGCAAGTGATGTCAGGTGCCCCAATTCACATCATCCCCAGCAGCTCCAGGAGTACAAGGACATCCCAGCTCTTAGGCTACGACTGGAGCAAATGGTTTTGTTTTGAAAGCTGCTTGGTTCTAACACGTGTGAGATGAATATAAACTGCATGTTTGTATATAGTACATTCCTGAGGCCTCTTATGCTGAGGTTCTGCTGTCCCGTCTTTAAGTCACTTAACTGGGAGAAATAGTTAACTGCTGCGTTTTAAATACTGTAAAGGGGAAAGATGTGTTTTCTGTGTTGCGTAACTGGCTTAATATTTCATGTGAAGGGATTGCTTGGTGGTGGTAAGAGAGAAGATGCTTCCTCCTCGGCATCAGGGTGGCAGCATAGGCTTAAGGACGGCTCCTCCTTCAGGAGCAAGGATGGACTGTTCCCCCCCCAGCGCACTGGCTGCCAAAGCTAATCCGGCAGTGGCAGCCGCTGTTGTGGCAAGCCGAGGAGCTCTTTCACCATGCTGGTACAACCGTAACATATAAGGCCACTGGAGAGACCATCGGAGACTGGAGCCGGTTCGCTTCCCAACCGTTTCCTGTGAAACTCAGAGAAACTGTTTTTTTCTTATTGTGGATGTCTTGTCCTCTGAATACCACAGAGGATATTTGGCATCCCCATCCCAGCTGGCAGATTTCTTTCGGACTTCTGTCTGTCCATCCATGTTGGGATGATAGTCAAGACCTTGCAGGGGAAATCCAAGATATTCATGAATGGTTTTGCTACTCTTCTTTCGTTCATCCCTAAGCAGTTTGCAGTTTAGTTTCATGTTGCAGCTTCCAGTGGCAGAAGACTAAGGCACAGAGGATGGGATGGTTTTCCTTTGGGAGGCTGATGCGTAGTCTTTCTATTCCAGCTGGTTGGAGAAAGAGGATGGTTTCTCTCCTTGGAGGGGCAAGGAACTGAAGTGGACCCTTCCCACCCCAGGAGGATGTCCCATCCCCTGGAACACAGGCGCCCTTTGACTCTCAGAAAAGCAAGATTCGTTTTAAGAATCGTTTCCTTTTCGAGTTACTTCCCATGGTTTGGGGTGAGGCATTGGCATGCACTCGCTTCATCAGATAGGTGAAGAAATGTGATGTTGGAATGCGCAATGCCCTGATCGGTATACAGAACCCTTCTCCTACCAGCAGCTTCTCTGGGCTTTTTGAATAATTCTGTTACACTTCAGAGGTGGGCTTAATGCTTTGCTGTTGCTTATATTGGAGATGGGGCATGTGCTTATGTTGTTACAGCGTGTGTTAGAAATTCTGTTCGGCCGAGCGCCATGGTACCTGAAGTACCTCTTTCTCCGAAGGATGAATGTCCTGATTAAATGGGCCGTTATTTTTCCTCTTCCAGTGAGCATTTGTCTTGCGCCTTCACCTTCTTCCTTCACGGGGAAAGTAACGTGTGCACAAGCGTGGAGATTGCCCAGCACCAACCGATCTATTTGATCAGCGAGGACCATCTTCACATGGCACAGTCCTCCCCCATGCCATTCCAAGGTAGGTGGTGCGTGTTTGCCCATCCGTGCACGGGATCGACAAAATGTGGCCCAAGCCATGAACGAGCACCCCTGATTGCACCAGCGGATTCTCCTGCAACGTTCCCTGGCGTGGGAGGGAAAAAGCAGAAGAGCAAACATTTTCCTTTGCGGATTATTGTCATAAAGTAAAATCTCATTCCCTGGCGTCTTCTGCTTTACAACCAGCCGTGTGTTCCTTGTTGTAAAGAGAAGACCCCATTTTTTTCGCCTCTCTTTTTTCTTGCTGCCAACAATTTTGGTGGCAGTCTAAGAGGTAGTGGAGAAAGAAGCTGTCTGCTTTTGATCTAGATTATGTGCTCTGGAAGAACACCTTCATTTCAGACATAACGATATATTTTTCTACCACTAGCCTTGTGTAGTCATATGGACAAAGGACGTCTTTCTCCTCATTTTTCCTGGAGTGGTAGAATATTCTCTCTCAGACCTGTTTGTGATGGATAGTGGAGATTTATTTCCTCGGAAGCATTTCCAGTTTTTAATCTTTTGTGTTATATCACAGAGTATGGTGGTGAATTTACCCTTTTTTATCCTCATGACTGCTCAGTGAAATAGGATACAGGTTGCATACAAATTGTATACCAAGTTGCCATTTGTATGCCATGAGGAAACAAAAATTGAACATATTTTGGAAGTGAATTCAGACCTGATTGTGAAAGGTTATTTTTTTTATTTAAGTGCTAAGCAACTCAAGGGAGTGACCAACTTAAAACAAAACAAAAGTAAAACAAAGCAAAAGCCCAGCTTATTTTCTGTATCACTGTGTATTGCCAGCTATGATTTAAGGCCTGGTTGAAAAATATGGCCCACTATAGATCCCAGCAGGACATTGTCTCAGGCTCATGAATTCCATCTCATCCCCACATCCTCTCATTCCTTCCTCTATTCTGTAGTCTGTGATAAACTATAATTTGTCTTTATGGCTTATTATGACCATAAGTTTGTTGGATGGGAACCAGACTCAGAACCCTTTGTTTGAATGGCTTTCTTATCCTTGTGTGCAGCTACCATAGTTTGCTTGGTGGAGATGTAACGGCAAACGGGGATTACCATGAGCCAGGAAGAGAGACGGGGTGGCGTGGATGCAGTGCTTGAGCCCAAGACATGGTCTTGCAACCCCGGTCATGGCTTGGCTGTGATGTAGCCACTGGGCCGCGTAGGCTGCTCTTGAACAGAAGCAGCAGCTCTTCTCTCTCAGAAAGAGAGACATTTCTCGATCCTCGTACTTCGGAACCAGCATGCTGTGCAATCCACACCCGTCTTTCCCCCCACAGCAACTTATGCCTAAGCGATTACAAAATTGCGGGCTCTTTTTGGTTTAGAAAATCACATCATATTCCATGTTCTGGATATTTATTATTTTAAAAAGCGGATTCAGTGTATTAGAGCTTTGCAGTAGTTTACATGGCTTTGAGGTTGTGGATCACTTTCCTAGTCCCTCCTTGGTGCTTCAGCCCGTGAATAGACTGTGCTGAGGCTCAGTGCGGAAGCGATCAGTTGCTATTTTCGGCCTTGGCTCTGGTCGTCTAGCTGGGTGTGGGCATTTCTTCCATGATGCTAAACATTCTTCCTCCTTCCACTGATTTAATCGGCACCTTGAATTCATTTTCCTTCCAGATACTTTCAAGGGACTCACAGCAGGACCCAACCTCAGTGTGTTCATTTCCTTTCCCACCATTAAATATCTGATCTAATTGGATGTCATATGAACTTGCAATTTGCTGCAGGGTGGATTATTTCAGTCAGTATAATATACTTCGGCAATACAAGTTAGCCAAAGAGAGTGAGCTTTAAATCGAGTTTCCCGTTTGGTAATTAATATCTTTCCTGTAGAGTTGCACAAACAAATTGGTTTCGGTAACAATTAACCAAATATTGGTTTGCAACGAAATGGAGTCTTTAGACTACCTGTGAGCATAATCTCTATATAACCTTTGCCCGTGAAGCTCTCTTGCTTTTGCATTAACGAATTACATCTGGTTAGGGAGATGAGAGAGCCCACTGAGAAATCACGGGTTTCTGTTTCAGTGTTTTGGTGCTCTTGGAAGATGCTAAGCAAGCGTTTTTACTTGCAGACAAAGGCTACAGACCAGCAGTGAGCATGCTAATTTCTTGCTAGCAGCAAAAGGCTGGCAATTATTGAGTGCAACTTTTTTTTCCTGAGATAGAATGTTGGTGCCCATGTGAAACTAGTGGTCATATACCTATAATCATTAATGTATTTGGAACAAATACAAAAGATGGCTTATTTATACAATATGTAAATACAGAGCCATATTTGTCATTTCCCTCCATTCATATCATGCATGCTTCTTTTGTAGAGAAACCTGACCAAGCTTTACTATTCAGACTATTTCATTTTAAACCAGATTGTTGCTCAAATATGATGCTTAATAGATTTGCCATTTACCTCCCCCCCGCTCAAAAAGCAATAGGATTTAAACAAAGAATCATTTACCCTGTTTTGTTGTTGTATGCAAAGCTTCACTGGTTAGTAGTTTGTGGGACTATTGTACAAATAAAAATGTTGTTTACAGAGCTGGGCGACATGTTTAGCTTGAAAGCATATGCTAACAATGTGCTTGGTGCTGTAAAATATTTTTAGGTTTTCTGAAATTTAGATTAGTGCATGGTCTAGGTTTAGAGAAAGGAGCCAGTAAATAAAAGACAGAGGACAGATGCAGAAATTAAAAGCATGCTTAAAATAATAAATGTTTTTAAGGAACATCATAGGTTTGCAAAAAGGGAGGTTTATGGGAAATCTAAATGGAAAATGTTTTCACTAGACATTTGAAGCTAGATGTTAAAAAGGCACTGACCCTCTTGGCATATAATGTATACTTGTGGTTCATTTAACTCATGGGTTGTTGAATTTTGAGTTGTTGTGACATGTGAATGCAGGCATGCTAACAAACCATAGTTTGTTAACAGTGAATAACCCAGGAAGAGAACCTATGGTTTGTTGTTGGGGTGTGAACTCTGGGTTGTTTTAAGACATGGTTAGTCGTTGCATGTGCACCCAGAAGTGCAGGGGGTTCATGGCTCATCTTGCCAAGCTACAGAGGCACTAGGCAAGATACCTAGGTAAAATGAACAAACTGGAACAAGCTGATCTGCAATGCTAGTACCACAGTGCCACACAAGTATTAGGGGAACAATGGGAGAGTCGGTGAAGGAGAAGGGGAGTAACAATCAGGGATTGAAGACGAACCCAGTATTTGTTGATTGTCTGCCAGACAGACCCTGGGTAAGGCAACAAACCATGTGTTAAATCATGGACTAGGTTTATGTGGTAACTTAAAATCATCATAGATGTTATGTGAAGGAATTTCAAGAATTAGGACTGTAAAAGATAAGGGTAAAGATCATTTAAAGAGTTTGAGTTTGTAGAATGATTAAGGGTGGTCACAATGAAGTATGAAGGTGTAGAAGTGGACAGAACTAACAAATGAGGGAGATCCACCCAATTAACATGCAATTAATTAAGTTGCATGTTATGTGTGCAGAAAGTGAGCTGCCAAGCTACAGCTGGAGGACATATCGTCCTACTTACTCAGTAATCTTCTTACTCCAGAGTTATCCTCAGATTTAAAATCCTCAAGCAAATGGCCTCAAAAACATCAGATAGGCTTAAATAATGACCCTTGGGGGGTGGGTAAACTAATTAATTTGAACTGCTTCTTATTTGCTATCACGTTTTCCAAATCTGTCTGCAGCTAAGAGGGAAACATCTCTCCCTTCTACAGCCGGGAGCCTCGGGCTGTGTGGAAACTCTCAGGGCCTTGGCAGAATGTTCTCCGGCCAGGTCCATGAAGCTTGAAACTGAATGGCTTGAAACTGAATGGCAACAACATTAAGCATTTGCCTAGGATAAAAATATAATCCTTTCAGCTGAAATGTTTAGCAATGTTGTGCTTGTGTGCCTTTTTATGAGATTTGTGTAGCAGGAAGCTACTCATTAGGAAAAGATTTATGTTGCAACGGTAACCCTGTGCCCAGTTTCTTAGCAGTAAAGACCATTGAACTCCATAGGACTGACATCTGTGTCAACGTACTTGGGATTGCTTTGCACAACTTTATGTGAAGGATATAGGAGTGATTGCCGGAAAGTCAATTGCGTCTGCGTACTTTAACATCCTCTCGTTGGTTTTCCAGTGCTGATAAGTCCATACGGTTTAAGTGGTACTTTAACGGGCCAAGCGTACAAGATGTCAGATCCAGCAACCCGGAAGCTAATTGAGGAGTGGCAATATTTTTATCCCATGGTGCTGAAGAAGAAAGAGAGCATGAAAGAGGAAGAAGAAATGGGATACGACGATGATTTTCCAGTGGCAGTGGAAGTCATTGTTGGTGAGAATCAATGTTTTGCTTGAAGAACTTTTCCACACCCCCAACAAGTAAAATCTCTAAAACTAGAGTCCTGATAAATAAAGAACAGCTTTGCTGTGAACTTGTTAATACCTGAGTATTTTGACATGCCGCTTTCCTTTAAAATTCATTGTGTACGCATGCTCTCTCATAGCTCATGACAATCTTAGACTATTTATTTATACTCACTTTAGTGACACAAATGGCAGTTTCCAGGATATAAACAGCAGCCTCGCTGTGTAATTCTGGTTGCCGTAATTGGATCAAAGCAGGACAATGTTGCTATGGCCACACTAGAAACGATCAAGTAGACTCGAAAGCCCGGGTCCTACGCGTGTCCTTTCTTTGTCCCTCTCTTTCCAGGTGGTGTCCGCATGGTGTACCCTTCGGCTTTCGTTCTTATCTCTCAAAATGACATTCCCGTGGCTCAGAGCACTTCCACACAAGGGGGCCACAACAACGTGGCACCACAGGGAGCTGGGAACATGAAAGATGCCAGCAGCTGTGGAATGCTGCTCACCCCACCCACTTCTCCAGAGCAGACCATCATCGGTAAGGAGAACACCTTGTCTTGTCCCGTGAAGGGGATGTGTGCACACCCGCCTACGAGCAGCTTGCTCTCAGCCTTTGGCTGTTCAAGCCCGCTGATTTCGGCTGTCCTCCATTGCTTATGATTAGTTGGTCCTCCAAACAGGGTGTTCCAAAAATACTGCGCCCTTAAGGGGCCAAATGGCATAGCCCCGCTTCCGATGTCGCCCAGGTCCTCGCCCATATGCAGCGAGAGGGGCCTAGGCAGCATGTGGAATGTCTCAGGTGAGGATAAGCACTGTGCCCCCCTTTAAAAAAAAAGGCAGCTTTTGCATGCTTCAGCAGAGCTAATGCCTTCAGCAGACGCAAAGCGGGAGAGAGCTGTAGGGAGCAGTTACAGCACAAGTGCCCCCATTTTTAAATCCAAGGAAAACTCCTTGAATATGCCATTTTAATGTGAGCAATATTATTGGAAGCAATATTAAATGTCTGGAGATACAGGTACTGGGGAGATTTACGTTTGCCTGGCATACGTCATCTTTTGACACTTCTTCGCGGCAACAAAAGACGCTCCTGGGGGAAATGTTTCATGTGAGAATGTTAATCTTGTGGAATTCCTATTAATGGTGATTTAGCGTAGAAGAGAATGGAAGGAAGAGCTTGTGGAACTCTCTCCTTTCTCCCGTGTCTTGTGTTTCTCCCAGTGGGACTTGCTTTTACTTCGTAGGCCGAACTAGATGTGACATGTTAAATGTTTAATTCAATAAACATATCTAGTTTTTAAAAAATTTATTGCTGGGGAGTGCTCACATAATTGGGACCGTGCATACAAGGAAGTAAACTTAACTTTTGCTTCGCCTGCTGTCGTTCTGGGGATGTGCTCCCACCATTCATTTTAGCCCTGCCTAGAATTTTAATTGGGACGACATTGTGGGGAAAAGGGTTCACCATCTCTGCCCTGCACCGTGCGCCACGATCCTCACCCCTCGAACTGTAGCTCAGTGGGTGCAGCACATTCTTTCTGTGCAAAAGTTTCCAGTTTCCAGTGGCATCTCCTGGGAAAGCCCTGCCCCAGAGCCCTTCTAAGCATGTCCTAACAGTAGTGGGCAAGCTGGATGAGCCAGTGGGCTGAAGCCTCTCACATTCCTGACCCCCGCTGAGATTTATTTTGGAAAACATGTCATTTAAAAAATTAAAATGTTATTTAAATTAAAAAGACTAGTTAAAAACTCATACAGTTAACATCTCAACTAGTTTTGTCTTCTCTGGGGGGAAAAAACCAGTTTGGGTGGAGTGGTATGCGAGTAAAAAGCCAAAGTGGAGGAAATGTTTGGTCCCTTCCGTACTCTTAATATGAACTTGGCAATGATCTGCATTCTAAGACACAGGTCTGTGGCTATCATGTGTAATTACCCCCTAGGTAAAATTAATATTTATAAAGTATGTAAATCTTAGTGCACAATAATGTACTGAAAATGTGAGAAGCTTTATAAACTCTTGAGCGTTCCAGCTTTCAGAAAGCAGGAGGGGTTCCAGGCAGAGCGATGAAAATGTTGCATTTATGCGCAGCGGATCCCCTGTCGTATCCCAAGCTGGTCTTTGGCTGTTGGTTTACTGATGTATCTCATCTAAATCAATGCAGTTACTTAGCTCACCCTGGGTAAAGGCATGTCCTTCAATGCTATAGGTTTTAATATTTTCCTGTCTTCATGGCTGGCATTTTAATGTTAAGCTGGCCAGTTTCCAAGGAGACAATTCAGTCCTAGCATTAGATATTCACTGTAGGAAGGTATGCTTTGTGTAGATGTAATTAAGTAGAGCAGTTGTTATATTTCTTCCACAGAAGAGATTACAACTATGTGGAAGAGGTTGAAAAAAAGAAACTCGGCTATTAAGAAAACATAGAGAATGAATAACACATTGAGAACTGGGTTTTTAAATGGATAATCCAAATATATTGCCAAACTATTTTATATTGAAGGGGTATTTGGTTTGGTTTGTCTGTGTGTTTTCTGTGATCTGTCTATCATCAATCTAGCATTTATTATTTTTTTGATTTTATTAAAAGTTTTTATATGCTGTCCAATACCACAGTCTCTGTACGGCTTACAAAGAAAAAAAAGAAAGAAAGCGAACGTGCATAGCAATCAGTAGTACAATACTCCAGTCATATGCTTTGTTACGTAGCTAGTTAACTCTTCAGGTAATTTTCTTTTACCAGCAAAATCCCCTTGGTTGTACTCATTGGAGTTCTCAACCTTCTGGGCCTAAAGAGTCACTTTGGGTGGGGCCAGTAGACTGTGTATATGCATATGATAAATACTTGCTTATATGCACGCGCGTGCATGCGCGCACACACGCACACACACGAGAGACTTCTTCATTGACAGTTGCCTTTCAAAAGCAAGAGTAACATAGAAACAGAGCGAGTCATAAGAGGCCTCCTGGGCCATCTAGTCTGACCCCCGGCTCTAGCTGGCTCCACTCACGACATGCCCGCCATGGGCATGTCCAGCACCCTCACCGATGGGGCCTCAACCACCTCCCATGGAGTAGCAACTTACCACAGAATCTGGTTGAGGAGATGGGTTAAACTAGACGATGCGCTGCGTTCGATTCTCTCTAGATGGCTTTCTATCACAATTACTGCTGTTTAAGATACATTCTAGCAAAATTAAATAAATGAGATGGGGTTCTTAACTGGTAGACTCAAAAGGTGCATGCTCAGTCTTCAAGATTTCATATTAGTTGGTTTACATAACAACCATTAATTGCAGATCAGAAACGTGAACTTGTGGTTGGAGTTGTCCCTTCTGGAGGGAAATTGGGTACCACTAGCAGTGCAGTAATAACAGGGCAAAAGCTGGATTTTGACACCTCCATAAAGAGTGGAAAAGGTCCTTTAACAGTTCCTTTAAAGCAGCGGCAAACACAGATATCAGTTTCTCGCCTTTTTCCCTCTGATGTAGCAGTGCTTTGGCTGCTTTGAGTGTTTTATTCATAAGGCTTTTTTTCTGACCATGCCAGACATAAGAACAAGGAGTTCTGTAAACATGTTTGACCTTGTTGAGGGTTTGTACTATTACCTCCTTTTCCAGCTCAAGCACAGAATCTCTGACATGCATTTAGGAGGTTAAGCAAACAAAAAGCTCCCTCTGCTGTCCCACTTGATGTTTCGAGCTGTTGGTTTTCTTGGATTTACAGTTGCTCTTGTGATATCCTTCATAAGGGAGAGCAGAAACTCTTGCTGGTACCATTGATAACTAGTTGCACTGCCACTGGTGCGCATAACTGGCTCCCAGTGCAGAATGACAGTTCATACCATCAGCGCAAGCTTTTTGCTTTGCCTTAACAACTCCACGAGAATTTTGCAATGGTTTCTGTGTTGCAGCATCAGTTCAGATAAAACTAAATCATGCTGTTATAGGAACAAGAGTTGGATTTCCATGTTCTTTCATGCCCTGTAGGACTTCCTACTTTGCTACTACTTAACAATCAAGCCATAGTTTCAGAAAAGATCTTGGTTTGGGGAAGTCTGGTTTAAACAAACCAGGATCTCTGTACCAAACAACATTTATTTATTGTTTGATTGATTTCTATCCCAGTGTGACAGCCAGTGTGGTGTAGTGGTTTCCCTTTTTGTAAGGGGGAAAAAAGGCAGGACATGATTAATTAATTAATTAAATGCAATATTCCACCCTCTTCCTTTTTAAAGAACTCAAAGTGCCATATATCATTCTCCTCCTCCTCCTCCTCCCAGTCCTATCCTCACAACAAGAACCCTGTGAAGTAGGTTGGGCTGAGAGTCTGTGACTGGCCCAAAGTCCCCCAGTTGGCTCCATGGCTGAGCGGAACTAGAACCCAATGGAATATTACCGTGTTTGTGTTCAGATGTCATCCTATTAAAACCTAGCAACCATATCCTAAAAAGTTTTCCTTTTGTAATAAATGAGCTGAGGTGAACCTTATACCAAAATATTCCTCCCCTGATGTGTATGACATTACTAGATTTAATGTTAACGCCACCAAAGTCCTACATCAGAGGCGGGCAACCTGATGCCGTCTGAATGTTTTGAACTACAATTCAATCACTCCCAGTCAGCATGGCTAGGGGTGGGGATGATGAGAAGTGTAGTCCAAAGCAGCTGGAAGCCTCCAGGTTGCCTCCCATGTGCTAAGCTAATGCACGGTTAAATCATGCAGGACATTTGTGAAGTCATCTATGTGTTCTCCTAAGCAGGCCTCTGAATAGCCACTTCGGCAAAATGACTCTTGTAGCTGTCGCTGTTTCCTAAGGTGGCACCATTTATCTTGCAGGTGAAAGTGGAGGCATTCCAAGTATGGCCAGCCATGCACCAGCACCAGATGGGATGGTCACTGTGCAGAGTCCAAAGAGATCAGGAAAAATTCCTCCAAAATTCCAAAATCGGATGGTCCACAGAGTTTGGAAGGAGTGCATCCTCAACAGGCCACAGTCCAAGTAAGAGAACAGTTCTGACAGATTCCTCTGCATGGAATGTCAAGACACCCCGTTGAATGATCAACACCGACCGCATCTTCCTCACTTATATTTTAATATTTCGCAAGTGAAATGCAGAAGCATTGGCTGTCTTGTAATTTTGAAGGCTACTTCCTGGGCCTCTATTGATACAGTCTCCTGGGCTGATGGAGGTCTTCTGAAGAAGTGAAGGAAGGCCACCGAAACATGTATTCAGGCTAGCTCAGGGACTGGACAGCTTTATCTGTCTCAAGGCTCAGGGACTTTCCCAAGGTGCACGTTACCTGTTACTTGGGCGTTTCCAGCATGGTTCCTGCATGCCACTGTGCCCACTAGCCAGGCTGGGGTGACCACCAGACTGTTCTGCTCCTCTGCAAATTAATGGAACGAATCCCCGTTCACTCAGTGTTGCTGAAAAATAGCTGGAGGGGAGATTAAAATCCTTGTTCCCCCAAGGACCTTTGGCGCAACAAAGCCTCTCACCCTGTGCAATTGGGCTTCTGCACAGGGGCTGCCCCCGCCTTCAAGTCAATGGTTTCCGCGATCCAACATTGCTTCTTAGGAGAGAGTGACCAGGAGGGTGTTTGCCTACAGGAGTATCTTAGGGTGGCCTTCCTGGGTAAGGTGACCCTCAGCACTGTCACAGACCGAATGACCAAATGTACTTTGTTTGGGGCTCCCTTGGAAAATAGGAGTCTCTCAGCCTCCTGCATTTTGCAGAAGTCCCACAACCTTCGCAAAACAGCTTCATGGTCTAGGAAAGGTGGCATTTCCAGATCTGATTAAAATGAACATCACTTTCATTGGAAACTTGCATTTGTTCCTCTCCTCCCTGCCCTTGTGTTGCTTATATGATCATGAATTGTGGTTTGTCGGCATGCTGACATTGCAGTGTATTTTTATTGCTGTCAGGAGGGGTCAGATTACTGCTAAAGGTGTGGAGGAAGACACCCCCACCAACTGTGTCTCCTGGGATTTTGTCGATCCAGTCCAAAGAGTTTGCTGTTCTTGCTCCAGGTTTGTACAAGGGATGGTAATTCCAGGATTTGCAATGGGATTGGGGGGTGTGCGCGCGCCATCCTGAGCACCTTGTGTGAGCAGCAGTCTGTTAGTGGGGCTGACATAAAGCAGTCTTGCTCAGTTGATGCATGCCAAAGATACTGCAATAAATAGATTGATGCATAATCAGTCCCCAAGCTATGAAGCATCTGTGCAGAACTGAAGCTCCAACTCTGAGTCAGTCCTTTGTAGTTCTGCAAGAGCTCACACCTCCTAGAAGCATAGAAACAGAGCGAGTCAGAAGGGGCCTCTGGGGCCATCTAGTCTGACCTCCGGCACCAGCCGGCTCCACGCATGACATGCCCACCAGGTGCACGTCCAGCCTATCCTTGAACACCCGCACCGATGGGGCCTCAACGACCCCGTTCCACAACCTATGAGTGTGCATGCATGTTTGCCACCTTGTCCCAACAACTTGATCCCCCCCCCCCGCACACACACACACACAACACAAAGCACAATTCGGCAAACACAAGAGAGCAACACACACACAGTAAAGACCACGGGCCATAGGCCCTCCAGGACGGGGGTGCTCTTGTGTTTCTCCAGAAGGCCCTGCCTCTTTCCTCACACCGCTTCCTCTTATGCCAGCCAGAGTGGCTGTGATTGCCTCGATGTTTTGTTCGCCTTCGGAGCGCAGATTTTCCCAGCCTTTAATTGTGACTCATGGTGCGCTGGTGCTGGCTTCTCTTGTGAAACTGGCCATGGACTTTCCTATGAAGGAATATTAAGTATTTCAGACCCCATCTCGGTCTCATCAGCCTGATCACAATGGTTAGGGCCAGTCCTCAGGCAGGGAGATTAGGACAGATTACTCGCCATAAGTTTCAGGAATGGAAGAGAGTAGAAACTTCGTTTATGTATTAACCAATTTGTTGCAGTTGCTTATTTGCCGCCTTTCCGGATACAAACCTTACCAAAGTGGTCAGTGAGAAAGCTAAAAATAATCAACTCAAGTTAAACAATGTTAACTTTTTTTTAAAAAAAGCAGGGTTCTTTTGTTAGAGCAGCTGCAATATTTATTTATTTAATTTATTTATTTAGAAAATTTCTGTGCCGCCCCATTCGCCGAAGCCTCGGGGCGGCTTACAAATAAATCAATTAAAATACTATAAATTAACAATATAAAACAAGTTAACAGTATAAAATAAGTCGCCCTGGCCAACGAATAAAATAAATATTTATTTATAAAATAAATAAATAAGATGCTCCCTGTGTCAGGAGGACCCCAGCCAGAGCTGGAATGTGTGTATAGTGTCATCTTCACCTACCTCCCACTCACCTTGAATTCTTCCCACAAGGTGGTTGGTGGTAGATGATGATGATGATGATGATGATGATGATGATGATGATTATAGCATTTCTATGCCGCCCCTTGCTGAAACCTCAGGGCGGCTTACAACAGGATAAAATACATTGGAATACAATAGTACATAATAAATTACCATTAAATATAAAAATACAAAAAATACATTGATTTACAAAAATAAAATTAAAATTATCAGTATAAAATAAAAATATAGGAGGAGAAAGAGAAGGAAGAAGAAGTTGCTCTGTGGGACAGACCGGGTAGGGGAAAGTCTAGGTGGGGATGGCCCTGTGGTGTTACCACTTGCCTCTCACCCTGTTTTTGCTGGAATTCTAATTTAATTTAATTTAATTGAAAGTTTTTATATGCCATCCCAATACAAAAAGTCTCTGGATGGCATTCTTCTCACAAGGCAGTTGATGAAGCTGCAAAGATTAAAAAAAAATAAGAGCATGCCCTGCATTTCAGGACTAAAACTACTTCTGATAGCCTCCATAAACACTTTGCCCAGAATCCTGAACCACTGATAAGATTACCAGACCATCCTCCCTCTCCTGTTCTCCATCCGCCAATGCAGAGTGATCCGTAGTGTATTGATATCTTATCTGCCGAGCCACGTTCTTGAGGTGTGTGGATTTCCTTCCCCCATTTGCCCCTCCACACACAAATTTATAGGAATGCTTTTCCATCATGATTTGTGACTTTTTGGAAAATTGCCTAGTTGCCTTTAAAGTAATTCATCTAGAATCCAGACTCGTGGCAGATGCACAGCAGATAAATCATCAGACAGAGCAGGAGGTCATAAGAATGACCTGCTTCTCTTGCAAGGTCTCTTCAAAAGGAGAGAAGAGCCGGAATACAGAATCATCAGTAGTTGGAGGCACCTGTTGCTCTCGTGTTTCTGGGTAAATTCTCCCTGATGGTTCTCTTCCAGGCATAAGCTTCTCAAGCAACGCTGCGCCCTGGGTTCCGGTCGTCCACCAACGATACTGCAACCTGGGTTTGGTGTGGGGACGACCTCTTCTTCCGCCTTGCCACCCCCCGCCTCTAAGCACAAAACTACCGAGAGGCAGGAGAAATCAGAAAAACTTCAGAAGAGGTCCCTGCTACCATTTCATCATCGGCCTTCTGTGGCTGAAGAGCTGTGTGTTGAGCAGGACCCTTCGGGACAGAAGCTGGCCTTGGCGGGAATGGAGCCCTCTTTGGAAGCCCCGAACAGCAGGAAATACGAGAAGCCCCTCTCTCTGCCCCCCAGACACTCAAGCAAGCAAGCGAGTTTGAATCCTATGGATTCCCCCCATTCCCCAACATCCCCTTTGCCCCCCACACTTAGCCCCCAACCAAGAGGCCAGGAGGCTGAAAGCTTGGACCCGCCATCAGTTCCTGTGACTCAGGCCCTCTACAGCAATGGGCTAGAACTCCAGCCGATAGCCAACCCGGAGGAGCGGACAGCCCTCGTGGGCCAGAGGCTGCCTCTGATGGCAGAAGTCAGTGAGACGGCTTTATATTGTGGGGTTTTACTCAACCAGGAGTCATCGAACAAATGGCAGGGATATTTTCTTCCGTCGAGCAGCGACACCGAGTTCAGGCCTCCTTTACTCCAGTGTGAGAGAGATGACGTCAAGATGGAGGTTGCATCAGACGGCACAGCACTGAAAAGGTAGGAGCATTGTTGGCCACCCCGTATTGGGCACCTGGAGGTACAGGTGGTTTTCCCCTGCCCTGTCATGCCCGTAGAGAGTTGTGCACGTCTTCGAGAATGAGCGAAAATAGCACAAGAACCTGGTGATACATTTTTATGTCCGAAAAATTAACTAGGAGTACATGCAGGACTCCATGGACATGTATGGTTGCCTTCATGTGGCTTTTCCGACACGGACTCTGCCTCGTTACATCTTATGTTGATCCAAGTGATGTTTTCATGAGCATGTGCATCTCCTGGGAAGCTGTCCCATGTCCCAGGGGTTTGGGTGAGGTGTGTGTGTCATGGATCTGGCCACAAGAGCCAGGAGCCCATGAGATGCAGCACTAAGAAAGCTTCACTGAAAATCGGGCGATCTGGGATTACTCTCCACTTAGCCTTGAACTTCACTGGGTGACTTCAGGCCTGTCACTTTAGTTGGCTGATCTACCTCACAGGGTTGTTGTTGGAGGATACCATGTCAAGGAAGAGAGACTTGTAAGCCATCCTAGATGGCTTGCAGGGGAAAGAAAGGAGGGAGGTAAATATAATGCAATAATACAGAATAAATAGCAGGTTGCATCTGTGTTTCAGTCTGACATGAAACTTGGGAGTAAAAGCGTAGCGTGAATGTGCAGTGGGCGATGCTGTTTTCGGCAGTTGTATTTTATACTGTGCATTCATGTCTCCTCTTAAGGCTGCAAGGAAGTGCTGTCTCATAGCTCTTAGGATGGAAGCAAAGGGGAATGGTTTCTGCTTTTGACTTTGATAGGCAGAGCTCCTTTTATTATATTTTAGTTAATTCATAGGCTTTTCCATAGCACCATTCCTGTTGTGAGGAGAAGCTATATGTGTTACTAGAGCGCTTTCTCTCTCTGTGTGCGTGCGTGCGTGCGTGTGTGTGTGTGTGTGCGTGCTTAAAATTGAATGTACAAATAAAACACTTCGAGAGCTTACCCATGTCTGCATAATGCAGAAAACCAAATATTTACATATATGCTTTACCTATAATTTATTTTAAAGCAGCTCCCTCCCATCACATGTCTTTCAGATGCGCTGGACTGCAGTTCCTACCATTCTCAGCCAGCATAGCCACTGCTGGGATCTGGAGTCCAGCACAAAGTTGGAAGGCTGTTTTCAAGTAGATTTGTGTATGCATGTGAAACACTGTAATCATTCAGCATATGGAGGTGGTTGAGTGAAGTTGCAATTCTGCTTCACAAATGTTTTGGGAAGGTGCAGTCCATGAAAGGGAGAATAATTTCCAAACCATTGTGCGGCAGGTATCTTAGTTTGTGCTGTGACTGTTAAGGGAAGGTGTTAGCATGTTTACATCACTGCTTGCTGTTGATTTTGATGCCTTTATAATGTAAAGTTATACCGAACCTCCCACGCTGATGGTTGCTTTGGGGACCAGGTTCAGATATGGCCCTGCATTACCAGAATTCCATCACTGATAAGCACAATTGTGTGAAATGTTCAAGAAGGATCATGCTGTTGACCTTTGAAAGCATTTACAAGACCTTTGGCCCCTTTGAAGATAAGTTGCAAGAGCCTATAAACCGAGCTAGAACTGTACAGAATGATATTCAAAGTCTCTCAGTTTTGCTCTAAGCTGGAACTAGACCATACAGGAGATTTTCTGGTTGAGAATAGTCCCGTGTCATCAATTTATTCTCTTTATTTCTTTGGTAATATTTAGTAGTACAAAACAGGTTGACGTGCTGTGCATTTCCCCACCTGGGTGGTTACAGAGAATTAGAGCATCACATCATGGATTTTATAGTACTAAAAGTTACTGTAGGGGAAGAGGTAAGGAGGTAAAGCTGGTGCTGTTTGTAGCGGCCATGCGTCTCTCCTAATGACTCACTCTGGCCTGAGATGTTGATGCTAGTCTGCAGTTACAGCCTCAAAGCCACTAGAGAAGGGGCTGGCAATCGCTGTCATCAAGCTTTCTCAGAATAATACCGGAGTTTTCTTCCAGTTTGATGTCTGCTTTACACTTCCCCGAATTGTGCTCTTAAACTTTCACAAGAGTCCTCTTGACTGTCACAACTTGGGCCAAGGCGAATGGCTGTAAACCTGGGATTAAAGCTATTTATGCAGATTCTCGGGAAAAGGTGGCTGCTTTAAATTGTGGTCCCTGTGAATGGGAAGTGTTTCTAGGAGGGTGCATTGGATGCTATCTTAGCTGCTCTAGAAAGTAAACACAGTGGATTCTCTTGTCATGTTCCAGGGGAGTTGTTTCTCATAGGCTTGTGGATGGTGACCAAATGCTTTAAGGGGCAAGAAGAGTGATGTGTGTGTTGTTGAAAGATGCGTTGTTGGTGTCAGAGTCTCCTTACCAATGGTGGGAATGAACACTCAGACCCATAGGGAAGATTTGATCACCTTGAACCCCAGTGTTTTTATTGGTGAGATCCCCCAGGACCCCCACAGTTTACTTACGATGGCAAGCTACCAGGTAGTGGTCTTTACCGCCAACGACAAGCTCTTAGAACATACACAGAGCATTTTATAGCTTCTGAGTCACATGTGCAAGCAGGACAGGTAATGACGAAATAAGGGGAACACCACGAAAAAGAAAGTGAGAGACCTGCCGAGGAGACTTAATACAATAGTGTTGATTATAAGAGATTAACATAACGATCACTGAGGCACAGGGATTATGGTGGGTCTTGGCATGCAAATGAGCGTGATTGCAATACTGCCAGAAAAACTTGTCTGGCCACCTTATCAGTTTTGTTTGCTGTTAGCCCAAGAACAGCTAGGGATTAACTTTCCTTGGGAGCCCCATCCTGCAAAGGCGTTTCCAACCAAAGGTAGTAGCCGTCTGTTCAAGGAACAGCTCTGAAAATACCGCTAGGCAGAAGTCTGCCTTGCAGTTCTGGTACTTTCTGAGAAGGAAGTGCAGAGAAGTAGCAGGTTTGATGTTATCACACAAAGGCACATGCAAGCATCCCTTTTCTACCAGGATTCACCCGAATTCTCCCACATTGGTTATATAGGACCATCCAAGTCCACAGACCAAGTAGTTCAGGGCAGAGACAGAGCAGGTCAAAGCAAGAGTGGCTATGAGTTGAAAGCCAGACCAAAGGGAAGGATTGGTGGAATCGGGAGGAGGATGGGTCAGATGGATTACCTGCATGAGCATTGGTCTCCAAGGCATTGGGTGTGCATGTTTGAGGGAGAAGAACATGAGAAGATGTGTCAAGGTCCGATAAGGAGATGGAGAAAGGGCTGACAATATAAAGCTGGTGCACTTGTTTTCGTAACATTGAGTGTTGTTGGAACACCTCCATCATGATTATCTCATACGGGTTCATGGGATTTCTGCATGGATTGATCAACACTAGTACTGCTCTCTAGAGGCCTTGCAGAGTCGGGGTTATTCCTGAGGCTGGCTGTTCTCGGAAGCAATAATTCAGCATCCGAATACTGATTTTTGTTACTTCACCTTCACTCAGATCTCTGATTCTGAGTAGCTACCATGTGGCAGCATGGAATCCAGTCTTGGGACTGAACTTTCCATGCTTGTTATGTCACTGGAGCACAAACTTGGAGCTTCTTTCAGAAGAAACAGTTCCTTCCGAAGCTGTGCAAGCAATGCTAGAAGTGGTGGTGGTGTAGATTTCAGGATGGATCTCGACTATGCAAAATTACTTCCTGCTTCCATATAAATATCTCAAGCAGCAGAAGCCGTTCAGTGTCTGAGCAAGTCATGTGAAGAGATAGATAGTGATCTCAGGATTTTTAGGTATGGATTTCTAGGTTTTCTTGCCTTGCACCCAAGAGAACCAAAAACCATCAAGGCCCTCATCTCTCCCCATATTCCTTCCTAAGACTGTGACAAATGAGGATTTTGTGCCCTTTAAATCAGCCAAGCTCCTTCTCTCTGTTTTCTTGAACACTGAGTGTGAAGAGGCGCTCTGGAGAACACGAAACCTTCCTTGCTGTTCTGTGACTATTTGCCTAGCCTTAACAAAGGTATTGCCCAACTGTGAATTCTGGATTTCCCCCTTTCTTTTTCATGACTATAGAGAGCCTTGGGTGATGTTGGAAATAGGATCCACCCTTTTGTTGACAGTGAAGAAATATTGAAAGGAAATGCCAGCAGTTTCCTAAGGTTACCCAGAACTTTCAGTCCTAATCAGTGTCTAAGTCTGTGCTAATAAGAGGTTTCACTATTACTTGCACCCAGCAAAAGAGGTGTAGGTGTGTTTTTATTATTATTATTATGAGAACATTTTTATGCCGCCCCTTGCCGAAGCCTCGGGGTGGCTTCCAACACAATACAATACAATACAATACAAAAATAACAATATAAAATTAAAATTAATAATATAAAATAAATAAAAAATATAAACGATATAAAAGAAGTTATAAAAGAAAAGTTATAAAAGAAAAGAAGTCGCATAGTATGTAAGAGCCTTGGCTCAGAATCGGACAGAAATTCTGTTGGATGCTTTGATCCTTGAGGGCTGGGTGGGCAAAAGGTAGCTCAGGATCTGCTGGGAGATTTATGGGTAATCTGCAGTAGATCAGTACGGATTTCTGATCCCAGTTGCTTCACAATAGCAAGAACAAAGCGACTTCCCACTTGTCCCCATCCTGTATTGCTATAACAAAAGCATCTTGGGACACCCGAGAGTAGATTTTGTGCAGAAAGGCCATGATACTCAAAGAAAGAAAAATCCCTGGGCTAGGAATTCTTTAATTCTTAATGCATGTCTTGTGCCTCGCCAGGCTCGAGTTGGTGGATCTGGGGGCTCCACTGAAAAAGTAGCACCCCCCCCCCCCGCCAAACCTAAGGGCTGCCAATGCCCACTGCAGGCAGTGTAACAATTGGATTCCATGTGGGTTATTTAGGAACTCTTTGGCTTGTTTTGGCAGTGTCTATACAGAACGCTAGCGATACATTTAAGGCATTTATATACACCTTTCTGCCAAGGGTCCACACCAGACATCTCCATCATGGAAAGAACGGGCCTAGCATATGGCGAATCGCAGGATTTCTATTCAAGAAAACGCTCAGCCTACAGTGAGATGTTCAGTTGCAGTCTGAAGTCCCTTTGGAGCAGGGTTCTCCCTTATCCCTCGTCTGTCAGGTGGCTGGGCCAGAAGTGCAGGGCTCCTCTCTCTCCGTCTTGGGAGGTTCCAGCTTTTTGGCTCTGATGGAGCAAAGTGTGACAGAGGATGCATGAGATGTGTGCGCACTTGAACATTTCCTCTCTCACATGTGTGAATTGCTCACTCATGCGAATTAGTAATGATTTCGTCTAATCTATGGAATGCGCTCCCCAGAGAGGACCGCCTGGCGCCGTCATTATTTGTTTTTCGGCGCCAGGCGAAGACCTTTTTATTTAAGCGTCATTTTAACTGTTAATATTATTGGATTTTATCTGGCCAGGGCGACTTATTTTATATTGTTATTTTTTATATTTTAACTTAATGTTTGCATCTTACAAACATTTTAACTTAATGTTATAACTTAATGTTTGTATTTTAACTTCATGTTGTGAGCCGCCCCGAGGCTTCAGCGAATGGGGCGGCATAAAAATGTTTTAATGAATAAATAGATCAGGGATAGGCAAAACATGACCCACCTGTCTTCCCTTGCCGTGCAACGCATTTTCCTTTCACTGGGGGTATTTCCCCCTGCTACCATTCCACTGAATTTTGTGGGTGCAGTGGAGGCAGTATAATCCCTTGGCCTCTGAACGTTGTTCGTGTCTGTCCTGAAGCAAAAAAGGAGCTAGCAAGCACCTTCAGACGACAACTTGCCATATACAAACAAGAGATCAGAAAGGCGGAAGGGACCTCCAAGATCGTCCAAGTCCCCAGCTGAGAGAGCACCCCCAGTGTGTGACTCATCTAGCTTTTGCTTGAAAACCAGAGGTACAACTCTCCCCCACATGCTCAGGGGAAGGAGGTATATTCCTGACACGATGCTCTTGCAAGGAAAAGGAAGCGGAAGAAACTTGTGTCAAGTAATGTTCAAAGCAGACCCAGAAAACAGGGTTGAATAGTGTTCTAGTATTAAACACTTTAAGCCCTCCTTTCCTTGAACTACCTCACTCCCCTCCACAAATACAACATGGTTAGCAGTAATTTAAAGTCTGATGCAAACATGAGGGTTTAGGTGGATTACTGCCATCTTTCCTCCAGTGCTCACTTTTGCAGATGCTAGAGATATATACTGAACTGTTTCTTGAAGAGTTTTTGATTATCTGAGTCATGCCTGGAAGATTCTAATCTTTCAGTGGATGTGAGGTTCCAGGTCAGCTAGCAGATGTTTAGTAGTGGCAAGAAATTAGTTAAGTTCTACTAGAAAAGCATTTTGCTTCCTCTGTACCAAACAGGAAGAGGGATAACATGAGCTGTGTTTATGTGGGAAAAATCTATACATCTGCAGGACAGGCTTTGCTGAATACCTTTCTGTTTCTGTTTCCCCTCAGGCTCTTAGCACAACCGAATAAAAGATTTAAAATCTTGGAAGAGACTTCCCCGGTGCAGGCAGTGAATTATCTTGACCCCTTACCTCTAATGCAGCAGCCTGGCGAATGTTTGGGAGATGTCAGCGATCCTTACACTTTCCAGGATGGGGACATCAAGTACAGCTTCACTGGAACTAAGAAATGCAAACTTGGAACTGATAGAGAATCTCTGAAGAAAAATAAGGTATCTCCTTTTTACAGAGTTCTTCTTTGTGTGGAAATGTTTACCCTGCTTCACACACAGAGACAATTCCATGCACCTCTACCCAGGAATGCGATGGACTGATAGAACGTTACGGTGGCTGCAGTGGCGAGGAGCACTCTTCCTCAGCTTTGGCTGATCCACCAACTGCCTTGCAATGGGGACTCAAACTCTGGTCACTCCCTTGCTGGATTATTGTAACACGCTGTACATGGGGCTGCCCTTGAGGATGGTCCATATACTTCAGTTGGTGCAGAGTAGAGCTGCCAGGATGTTAATGGAGACTGGCAGGTACTCACATATAACGCTGGTCCTCTACCGCTTACACTGGCTGCCAGTTGAAGTCTGGGCCCAAGTTAAGGTGCTGGTGATGACCTGTAAAGCCCTAAATGGCTTGGGATTGGGATACCTGAGGGAGCGCCTCCTTCCCTATGTGTCCCCCCGCCCCTTGAGATCTGAGGCAGAGGTCCTGCTCCGGGAGCCCACCTTGAAGGTGATCAGGAAGGTGGCTACCCAGAGGAGGGCCTTCTCTGTGGTGGTGCCCTGACTATGGAATACACAGAGGTTTTCCTGGTGCCTACATTATATTCTTTTCGGTGTCAGGCAAACCCCTTTTTATTTTTCCATTATTTTAATGTTTAATTGAATGTAACTGGGGTTTTAGTATTTAATTGTCAGATGCGGTGCTTGCTTTATTCTACTTATTTTTTGTAAGCCATCCCAAGATGCTAGTAGTGGACAGGTTAGAAAAGCTTGTAATAAATCAATGAATGATAAATAAACTTTATGGGGCTTAATTTTGAGTAGATATGGATAGGATTACACTGATGGAGTTTCAGAGTTATGATCAGTTGCAGTTACACCTGAATGTCTTTACTTGAGAATGGCATTCAAGTAGAAACTTACTAGGTAGCATTTGTGGCACATATGATCTGGACATGCAAGCTTGTTAGTTTATGGGGCAGCCACAGTAAATAAACCAGTTTCTAAATGTCTTTGTAGAAATATTTGTCTCTTGTAAAGAGGCCGATCTCTTCTTTATCCTTAATTTCAAGCTTGGGGCCAGTGGATACATGTCAGGTTTTTAGTGTGTGGGTATCCCCAGCTCTGTGTGTGATTGTACCTACTGTGTTCCGTGGCTGTCAAAAGCACACGTGGGAAAGAAAGGTTTGAGCTGCAGCCCCTCTTTCCTTCCCCGCTCTCTCTCCTCTCTCTTCACCCTTCCTGTATTTGATGCAAGTCCTCTCTTTCTGCAGTCAGAAGAGGGATCTGCAGCCAAGGAGGTTTCTGCAGCAGGTCATCCTGCCGCTATGCCAGATGGGAAAGATGCAATGTCCATTTTCAGTTCTGCTCCTAAGACAGGTACGTGAACACCTATTGGATCCCTTCTGGGAAAGACACCAGGTGAAATCTGACCAAGGACCATAGGAGAGTACGGCGAATGGAAGGGGCAGCTGTTCTCGTCATGTGTTTCAGGGCCAAGGTGGCACAGACTCTGGATGCGGGGGGAGGGGGGAGGAGGCTTGGGGCATGAGGGTCCTGGACATACAGATGGCAGAGGTGGAGCAGCTTATCTCAAGGCTGGTGTTCTCCAGGTGTTCAGGCAGACCCTGGGAACAGTCAGAGTCCACAAGTGTTGGGAGGCAGCATGGGGCAGGAGCCAGACAAGCCTGGCCAGATCTCTGGCCCCACAATACGGTGGTGGGTGGTGGGCTAGCCGATGGGAGGGGCTGCACACCTCTAGGAGGCTTTCCTGGATCCAGGAGGGCAGTCATAGAGGCGTGCGGTCCAGGGTCACTCAAAAGGAGGGTTCTCAGAAGTAATCTCTGCTTTGGTTCCGCAAACTAGTTCAGCTATGCTCAGAGACTCTTTCTTTGCTGGTTATACTTGCTGGAGAATAAAGAACTTTTGCCAAAGAACAGTCTGTTGCTCTGGACGTGGGAAGGGGGGAACCAGCACCCAGCAGAGCACAGTACTTCTAGGATAAAACTTTAACAAAAGGGAAAGAAGAGGTGGTGGTCATGCTGTTCGGCGTCTGCATGGGCTACTCACAGGCTTTACGTTTCACTTGACATACCTGTGGACTGTTTTTGAGGGCGAACCTTGGAATATGAAAACTTGCTTAGTTGCTCACTTGCTCTTGTTATTTCTGCCCCATGTGTAACGACGTTCTTGATGACTTTCCCCCCTAGACACACGGCAAGATAATGCCGCGGCCCGAGCTGGTACTGGTAGTCTCACCCAAGTCACAGACTTGGCCCCGTCACTGCATGACTTGGACAACCTCTTTGATAATTCCGACGACGATGAGCCCGGGGTAAGTTAAACTGTGTCCTGTGCAGATTGTCTTTTGGGAGAATGCCCGGCGTTCTGGGCACCTCGTCCGTCGTGCGGCCACCGGAGAAATGCCGTGCCCTTCTTTGCGGTCTCTGCGCATCACACGCATGGGCTCCGTGCGGGTGCAGAGGCTGTACATGTGAATGCACAGATGACCACTCAAGGAATGATGTCGCAGGCAAGCAGCGTGACTTTCTGGTCCCACACCGAGTAAGCGATAAAAAGCCATACAGCACTGCTAGAAAAGGTTCAGGAAAGGGCAGCTGAAACTAAGAGGCTGAAGCAAGTTCTGATTGCTCAGATTCAGGGAAGAGAACATCAGCTATTAGGTGACCTCTTGTACTGGAGGCTGTATTCCTATAGGTCTCAGGTAGGACATGCAACTGGCAGGTGCAGCAGGACAGACTCCAGTTCTAGGACTATTATAGTCGTGTCCTACTTGGGGCTTTCCCGCTGGACAAGATGGACTCTTGCCCTGGTCCAGCATGCCGTCTCTTGCGTCCTTAAGCGGAAGTCCTTCAAGGTTGATTTTGCCTTCCTCTAACTGCTCCTGGAGTGTGACGGTTGTGACCAACAGGGTGGGAAATGTCCTACCACATTCACTCATTTTTCCCACTCCAAGTTTCTAGAAGGAAGAAAATGCTTGTTCAATGGCTTCAACTTGGTTCTATTTCCAATAAATCTGCCTATGAAGCCAGAAGCTTTACTTGGTACTGACTGGCATTCACTGGTACAGTCAGAATACCATACTCTAGTGCCAAATTCATGAAAACTACCAATGTATATTAGTTTATAAAAGACACATAGACCCAGGATAATCTTTTTTCCTATTAAAACTAAGGTAAGATATAGTATTAAAACTACTAAAGTATTAAAGGTAAGATATAGTATTATAGTATTAAAAGTAAGGTAAGAAAAATACAGTAAATGGAAAAAAGCAAGATTCTGCCTTCACTTAACTGTTATATTTTTTTTTATTTATTTAAGATTTTTGTATGCCATCTGAGTATTACACATGCAATTATTTTCATTCGTTCTTGGAGTTGTCTTCTGACCCAGCTGTGATAATCCTTCACTTTTAAAGAGGTTTCTCCCCCACCCCAAATTGTATTTCTAGGCTGTCTCACCTGCCCTCCGTTCATCAAAAATTCCTCCAGCAGGAAGTGAAGAACGCCCCCTAGGCAAGGATGGCAGAACAGCAGTCCCTTATCCTCCAAGTAAGTAATAGAACATAACCATAGCATTGATCATAGGAAACATCATCACTGCAAATTATTTTATTATTTATATGCTGTCATATATAGGCTCAGCAACTGAAAAATTCCTGAAAAACAAAAAGCAGGAGTATAAAAGAGTAAAGCATTAAAACAACTACATAATTTTAAAATCTGAATTAAAAAGATACCCTTTCTAAAAGCCGAGAGAGCTGGCAAGATGCTTTTCGGAGTCTGGGAGTGACACACGTGACGTGCCTTTCATGTATGCCTGAGAAAAGGCTTCTCTGTGTAATTATACCCTCCAAAGGAACTCCTGAATATCGTAGTAACAGGAAGTTCATAATGAGACTGTCCTTTAAATTGACTTATCATGAGTTCTTTAGGGCTTTAAAGGCTAAAACCAACATCTTGGAATGAGCCTGGAAAATAACTGGCAACCAATGCAGATGCTTCAAGATTGGGTTAATCTATTCCTGATACCATGTGCCCTGTGTAAAGCATATTACAGTTGTTATAGGCGTGATGTAACCAAGGTGTGGATGATGGTTTCCAAGCCAGACTCAGGAAAGGTTGTAGCTGGCTCACCAGGTGTAATTGCACAAGTGTGATCTTTTTTACCACTGCCAGCTGAAGATTCAGGATTGCTCTCAGATGATAAGTGTGATCTTTCTGGTGGAGCATGACCCCTCTCGCATCTAGAACAGGTTGAATCCCAGATCCCCAAATCTTTTCATAACACTTTCGAGTTGTTGGGATCTTTGCTTGTTTAGCCTCATCCAGACTCTTACTGAACCCCAGCAAAATTCAAGGGCTTCATCTGCTTCCTTGTTATTAGAAAGAAGATCCTTCTGCACCTTACAGGGAGAATGTCCTGCTGGACATAAACCATACCACCAAGATAATAACCAGCTTTTTCTTACTTTAAATTAGAAATTGCTCCTTTATCAAAAGAATGTATAATTTTGTGTAAGAATTGCCTGGTAAAAGCACACTGAAACTTAATTTGAATAGATTTGAGCAAACTGTGCTGATTCTGCTGGCATTTATATCTTACTAGAAACCAAAATAGTTTCTCCTGGTATTTATATCATATTAGAAACCCTTGGACTGAACAGGAGTGGCTTCTCTGACCACGGTATAGCTGGCTACCTTTTTGTACACCAGCATTCACAAAAGCTTTAGTTTGTTAACCAGCTGATCTGTGAAGGTATTCTGTTGCTACACAACTATGATTGTACAAGTGATGGGGAAATCTAATTTAAATTTTGCCCTGGCTAAAAGCTATCATTTCAGGAATGGAGATGGAATTTACTGTGTTCAATGGGAGCCAGTGATTTCTGACTGAAACTATTTTCTGTGACTTCATTAAACCTATACAGAGAGGGAAGGATGAAGCTGGTCACTCTTCAAGCTTGTTCCTTAGCACTCCTTTAAATATTCAAGTGAAATCAAAAGACATTTAGGCTTTTGTGACCTCCTTTCTTTCTCTATTTTGTGTGTTCGCGCGCGCGTGTGTGTGTGTGTGTGTAGATACACATTCCTTCCATGCTAGGTTACTTTTCCATCATTCCAGAAATCACAAGGACTTGGTTTCTGAGAGTAACTAAGAGCTACATAGGTTTTCCTTCTTCCACTTATGTGATATGTTTTAGAAATGCTTTATCTGTGTTTGGAAATAGTACTCTGTGTAATACCAACAGATGTCATTGTGAATTACAAGATCTTCTCATGGTGGGGTGGAGGGACGGGGAGAGAGAGAGAAGGTGGCTCCTCTGAGCTGGACTTGCATTCTACTGCAAATCATTTTTGAACGTTATCTCATTAACTCTGGCTGGTAATGAGAACAAATTGAGGGGAAAAATCTTGGTGTCACAAAGATGAGTCCGAGAGTTACACGGAGCCATAAAAGCCGTGCTGATTTACTCGAATGCAGAGGTATGAAGTACACAGAGATTGGATTTTGACAGTTTTAGTAGATCTATAGCTGCTTAAAATATGCAAGGTTTTCTCAAGCATGACACATATGAAAATGAATAATGATTCCCAGTCAGATTTTTTTTAGGTTTATTTAATTAAACATTTCTCCTCTTCTTTTTTCTTAATGACACTGCATTGCAGAAATTTACCCCTCCTCCCCAACCCCAAAAGAACCCCCAAGAAAGTGGAATAATGTGTGGAGTGAGTCAGGAAGGGTTAAATAGATAAGGCTTGCTGCTTTCAATATTCTTTTCTCTTGATGCAGCAATTTCTATAAAAGACTGGCACAAAGAGCAGAAGCATCTGTGTGGCTGAGAGACTGCACAGGCTGTGATGAGCCAGCTTAGTTTCTCTGCAAAAGATTCCCCTTAGAATCTGAGCCCGATGCTTCCTCAAATCCCGGTTTGTTGCCACAAAGTAGAGCAGGAGATACCATAACGTTCCATGCGGGGTCATCCCCGGGCTGCCTGCAGCAAAGCATTGTCCAGAGTGCCTTCCAAATCCTTCACACCCTTAGTACGGACAGACTAGCTCTACAATGTTTATGATTTCTCCTTAGGGTGTCACAGAAATTTCTGACCCTAATGGAACTGCATTACAGTTCCTGTGACTGTTATTTCTGGTATTCCACCCAATTTCTGGATGTAGCTAATAAAGCCAGGATTGGCACGGCTCCCTGCATATGTGATTTGGATAATTTTAGGGCATGCTTTTCACTCACGGTAGGATGCTGTGAATGTTTTATTGCTGACAAATTCGCCTTCCACTGAGTGAAGATTTTAGGGTTTAGAGATCTCCAGCTGAGTGTTGGTCAGTTAAGGTTTAGAGATGTGCGTTTGCCCGTCTATTCGCTTTTAGTTCCTGTACCTGTTGAGCTGGGGGATATCATTAAGAAGACCTGTATGAATTGCATAGTTTGTAGGCAATGTCAAAAAAAAAGAGAGCTCCTTTGGCTTTTGTGGATGTAGAAACACATAGAAATTGGCCGTGTGTCTGAAGTTCACTCTGAAAGACATTCCTTGCATTTGCCTATTATTAATATTAAGTATTTTTTAATTAAAATATGGTACTGTGGAGTGTAGAACAAAAGACAGAAAGGGCAAAAGTTTGTTTCAAGATTTTGTTTCAAAAACGCATGAAGAATTGAAGGCAGAAAAAGGAAGAAAGTAAAATCTCTTGAAATCAGAGAAGGCTGGGGTCGACTGGATGTTCATCTGTTTCTCCAGTCTATTTGATTTTGTAAGCTGTATTGAGAAGTCATGAACCAGGAGTGGAGCAAATTGTCCTAGAACCGATGGGGAAAAAATCACCTAAAAATCGGTATATATCCTTTGAAAACTACTTTCTTAAGGGGAAAATAGAGGTTTAATAAAAGGTACTGTTTGTACTTTTAAATTCACTGTTGCTGGCTAGAATGTAAGGATAGTAGATTTGCAGTACAATTTCTTCTGGTACTTGCTGACTCTCTTGGAGATGCCTGAAGGCTCAGTTTTTAATTACCAAGCTCCATTTTAGTAGTAGCAATAGATTTCTTTTGTAGTCTGTCTAAATTGGGTTATGAGGCTGAAAGGGAATTTCACAGGGATCGTTTTAACCCAAAGGCAGCATCAGCTTCCGTTTGTAACGGATCTCGCTTGTATAACTTTAAGATTTGGGGTCCCCAGTGCCAGAATCACATCCTTTTGACATCTTTTTTGCCTCTGTCTGTCTTTTGCATTCTGACGCAGACCCTTTTACATCATGCCATGGTAAAGGCAGCCCCTCTAACAGTGAACTTGGCTGGAGAGCACCAGTAAGGCCGGGGCTCAAATGGGACCACTGAGGAACGAAAGGGAAGCTTTGAGCAGCCCTGATGTTTGTGGTCCCCCCTCCCCAACCCCAAGCCACTGTTTGGCTCGGAAGAGCAGTTCACATTGGCAGCAGTCAGAGCTTCATCTTGTGCTAATTAGCAGCCGAATTGGACTGGCGGGTGGATACTTGTTGGGAACATGGTAAAAGAGGAGAGGAGAGGAGTAGCCTCCCCTCCTCTGATCAGCCTGGTTAGCGGCTCGCATTTGTACCTTACGAAGTCACATCATGGGGTTAAGTTCACATGTAGTTTAGCTCTGAAAAAGAGATTTTCTTTCCTTCAGAAAAAAATATTGTGGGAAATATTCTGTTACACATCCCAGGGACTCCGCCTCCGATATTAGCCTTTCATATAAAATTTTCTTGGGATTTGGCCTTTCTCTGGGCAACTGAGCTTCGTGGGGCTGATTCTGAGACCAACAGCGGGTCTGGTTCCTTTCCTCCCCTGATTTATTACTGTCTCAGCTGCCCCCGGGCACAACGGAATGCTTATCTGACGGAGCGTTTTCATCCATTTGTCTTGTCCAGCTGTGGCGGATCTCCAGAGGATGTTTCCGACACCGCCTTCTTTGGAGCAGCACCCAGCCTTCTCCCCTGTGATGAGCTATAAGGACGGCATCAGCTCCGAGACGGTGACCGCGCTCGGGATGCTGGAAAGCCCTGTGGTCAACATGGTCACCGCTCAGCTCACCGAGTTTAAAATGGAGGTGGAAGATGGATTAGGGAGTCCTAAGCCAGAAGAAGTCAAGGTGACGAGCTGGGACTGCAGATGAGATCGAACTGCAACATGGGTTTGTGGGTTTGGGCGAGAAAGTTGTTCCAGCTCAGATTCATGCTTGTTCTTATTCAATGGAACGAAATCGGGGATGTGCATGTACCCCAGCTAACAAAATAAGAAGGGAAATTCCATCCCTGAAATCTTGAATACTTTAAATGCTCACATCAAGTGTAGCGGCACATTAGAGCTGAACTTAACTAGTGGAGAAGTCATAGCTGAGTGATACAAATGTGGAGAACAAAAGGGAGCACAAACTTGCACAAGAGAGATTCAAGCAGATGGTAAGAGGAACCTATCACTAACAGCATCGAGGCCAGCAACAAAGAATTCTTCAAATTTATCAGAAGCAAGAAGCCAGCTGGTGAGACAGTTGGATCATTGTATAATCGTGGAGTTAAAGGAGGAAAAGGGCATTGCAGAAAAGCTGGATGAATTATTTTCATCCCTTTTCACAGCAAAGGATACAGGACACATACCTGCTCTTGAATTTATGTTTTCAGGAAGCATGGAAGACAGCGGCGACCACAGATGAAATTCTTACCCTTACTGACAAACTGAAAATTAATAAATCATTAGGTCCAGATAGTATCCTTCCTAGAGTTCTTTAAGAATTCGAATATGACATTGCAGACTTTCTTACAAAAATATGTAACTTGTCCCTAAGATCAGCCTCTGTACCAGAGACTGCAGAATGGTCAATGTAGCACCATTTTAAGGATCCAAGGAGGTTCTGGAAAATTACAGGACAGTTAACTTAATACCTGTTATGGATATGCTGGTTAAAAGCCAATTTGTAGAACTAGTAAGCATATAGAGGGACAAGCCATGCCCAAAAAGTCTCTACATGTTTTCCACAACTATACATGCTTTCTTATTATCTTTTTAGACTTCTTTGAGAGTGTTAGTAAACATGTGGACAGGCTGATATGGCAGGCAATGTTCACTTGGACTTCCAGACAGTCTCTATCAAAGACCCTTACTAAAGACTTCTGAGCAAACTTAGCAGTCACGGAATAAGAAGGGAGGTCCTTTTATGGTCCCGTAACTGATTGAAGAACAGAAAGCAGGGAGTGGGAATGAATGGTCATCACTCCCGAGGGAAGGAAGTATATGGTGGGGTTCCATAGGTGTTGATTACAACAATGCATTTCTGCTTATTCATAAAGAGTCTGAAATATGAATGAATGGTGAAGCAGCCAGCTTTGCTGACAATGCTGAACTAATTAGGGTGGTCAAAGCCAAAAGATTGTGAGATGCTCCCTATCTCCAAGCTGGGAGAATGGGCATCCAAAGGGCAAATGTGGTTCAGTATGAGCAAAGCTAAAGTAATGCATGTCAGGGCAGCAAAATCCCAACCTTGAGTACCAGCTGATGGGATGTGAGCCTGTAGAAGGGGGCTTGGAGGTTGTGGCAGACGTTTTGATGAAAATGCAGCTCAGAGCACGGTTTCTGTGAAAAAGGCAAACTTCGAGTTAGGCATGATTAGGGAAAGACAATGAAAGAGCAACTGTTCCCATCATATAGTCCTTATACAAATCTATGGGACAACTGCTCATAGAATATTGTGTATTAATAGTATAGTTATACACACACAGTATATATATATGCTATAGATATTCATTCTCCCTATATCTGTATCATCTGTATCTATAGCTGCATGCAGCTGGCCTGCTGCAAAGGAAAGAACTGGTCTGCTTGCCATCTTTACTGGGGTTCAGAAAAGTTAGGATTTATTAAGTTTTCAGACCCACCTTTGCCTTATGCTTAAGCTCTTGGTCAAGGGACTTTTAGCCTCACCAGATTGTCTATTTGGAAAAGAATGTTTTGTGACCAAGAGCACTTGCCATTGCAGCCATTTTGTGAGAGCACCCACAATGCTGTCGAGATCGGGAGGGTGCCCAGTTAAGGGAAGGAGTGGCTAGCCGGACCACGGGGCTGATTTCAGGCCGCATTGTTCTAGGGTGCTGCAGCAGCTGGCAAGCTACAAAAGAGTCTCTCTGTCCAGTGTGTGGAAATTAGCTAGATAATATTATTAAGTGTATTATTCTGTATGAGCAGCAGGTTTAATCAATCCTCTTAATAAGAATTTATGTTGCATATCTATATGGGACTGGACTTCCCTCTACCAGGGGCCAGTACAAGTGGCAGTAATCGGAGTAATTCTGCAGGGTTGATCTGTATCCTCAGGATGCTCCTGGAAAGGAAAAGGGAGCTTTTGGTAGTATATAGCAGCTCATTTTCAGCAGAAGAACCAGCATACTGAGTTTTTTAAGGCAACAGTTCCTCAGTTTGTTTTGCTGTTGGGTTCTCCCTCCAAAATGGAAAAAGGCTTTAATGCCAAGAGTAGGGTAGGCATGGTTAGATTATGGAGTTTCCTCTCCTCCTAAACTGGTCCCTCTAAGGAACCTGTTTTCTCGGTTGTGAAACAGTTAGCTTTGTGCTCGTATGCAGGATTTGCGCTTGGAATGTGACCCGAATCTGAGCTAAGATGGAGGTTTTCAAATGGACCTAAAATTGTTTTGCCAAGGTTGAGGTTGGAAAGTGAAAAGAAGTAAGAGATGTCTCATCTCTTCCTTAGCTTTCTTTTCTCTCTCTCTTCCCTCACCTCACATTGTCTCTTGATTTGGGGTATCAGATTTTGACCTTGTAGCTTCAGACAGTTGAAGGATGCATATTCATGGAGAGCAAATTTAGAATTATTGACCTAAAGAAACTAGAACGATCTGGGAGAATGAATAAATGAGAAAGGTCTGCTTTACTTAGGTTTCTAAAGAAGAGATTAGAAGATGTGTGTCATTGCATTGTCAGGTGGTAGCTAGGCTACGTTTGGTCAAGAAGCTTCTCAGAACTGATGGATTTCATTTGTAGCAGAAGGTTATAATTTGGTCCTACAGGAATGAACCCTGAAGGGCTTCCAGCCTAGGCTCTTCCTTTGCTTCACTTTTGTGCCACGATCCAAGACTTGACATCTTGGTTCGGCTGTTCACTGAAATAGCCATGTGGCTTGTGCTTCTTCCAAACCAGACTTTGATTCTGGTTTGGAGGCAAGTGCAAACTGCAGCTTGGCCAGTTGGAGAAACAAAGTGTTACTTGGCCGTCCATGATTGAGAGTTCAGCTTCTTTGAACGGGGAGAAGGCAGCCTGCAAACCTGGCCCTCCTTTGAAGCTCATTTTCATAGTGCCAAATTTTGGCTTGATGTGCGTGTACATTTTTCTCCCTGATTTAAATGAACATATACAACCTCATCTTGACTAGAATACAGCACAGGACAAGGGAGCAAAGACATATCTTGTGGTACTTTTGAATACTACTCTTGCAACTGCCTCTTTCCCTGTCTGATTCCTCATTTGGCTCTTTCCGATTTAGCGCCATGGTAGTCCTAGCTGCATTCTAGTACACTGATTATGAGCTCGGTGTGCGTGTGTATTGGGTTGGATCCAGGTAAGTTTAAATCAATGGGACAAGTCAGCCATGATTTAACATAAGCCCCACTGATTTTGGGAGGAACTAATGGCAGCTAGTTTAATCTGGATCTGACCCATTGTTTCCAGTTGTCAAAACAGATCAGTCCTGAGATGTAAACGAAGATGTGGGTCAAGATTGCCAGCAGAGATTAACCCCCACCCCAAAGCAGGCATTCATAACAAGAAGATCAGTGCTGTCTAGACACTCCTGTGATTGCATATGGGTTTCATTGTCAGTTAAGGAATGCACGAATAAACTCTTCTTTATCAGTGTTGGTGAGAGAGAAAGTACATATGCACGGAGGAAGATAGGGGCACCTTTAATGAAATTTCCTCTTAGAAAGACATGTGACATTCATGTAAGCCAAGGGGCTTAAGGAGCTGCACATGCTAGTGGACAGGTTAAACGTCCATAAGATGTTCCACATTAAAGGAGGCATTGCGAGGTTTGGCAATGCTTTCACGGACCAACTCCTAATTTTTTTCATGATTCTTGTAGTTTTCCTTTGATGCAAGAAATGCTAAGCTTCAGAATGAGTTTCTCCCGGAAAAATATGGGAAAGCCTATTCAAATACCACAGATATTTCTCAATTAACCAGACGTTACAGTTCTGTAACTGCAGACTAGCAAGAACCAGCTTGAAATCCCCACTCAGCCATGTGTGAGTCTGAATCAGCTGCTGTCTCTCCAGCTAAGCTTACCTCATAATGTTTCTGCGATGCTAAAAGGAGAGGGCTGTGCATATTGTCTTGATCTCTTTGGAAAAGCACAAGGTAACAGCACATGCACATGGATGGATACATCTGCACCCACCGTGTGGGTTGCAGCAGCCACATTCAAGACTGCCTGGGCTTGGGATGTGTGCGTTGGGGGTTTTTTTACCCTTAACAAAACTGGAAAGAGTACCTCCGTCTTGTTAATGCAAACAGTGTCATTGCTGACTCAGTTAAGTATCTGCAGCTGTACGGGCGCGCAGTGTTTAGTCTGAATGCCTTATTAAATATACGGCTATCCCAAAGATGCATATACTTTGCAGACATAACAAGGACAGATGCTTTTCTCAGGAACAGATTCTTAACTAGGTCCATTCAGATACAGTTTATTCACTTTCCGTTCAGTGAACATGTACCTTTAAGGTAATTGATTGTCTCAGGAGTAAAAGAGAAAACAAACATCCTGTAATACTGCAGTGGGGAAGAATCACTTTTCTCTTGACACCTTTTTCTTAATTCCACACAGCTATCTTTTTGTGTTCCACGCCGTTGCTCTTTCAGTGCCCCCTGTATTCTCTCATCTCTTGAGATCTGGGATGTCTAGATAAAGGGTTCTTCCTCCTCTTTCCTATAATATGTAACAATGAAATGTGTGAAGTGATACATCATACATTTCCATATGTCTGCTTCGTTTTACGGGCTGCTGCTGTTGGGGAGCTAAGCAGAGATAACTTAGCTCTTACATGTTGTTATTGCGTGTTGCAAAGGCGCAGCCACTGAGCCTGGAACCGCTGACTTGAGCAGCAACTGACCGTTTGGCTAAAGTCTAGCTCCATGCCTATTTTGGGACCTCCTGAGAGAATCCAGACGAAATTGTCTGCCCTTTGCCATTTCAGACAAGCTTCCATGCACGTCCCCTTTTTAGAAGATGCGTAACAGTCTGCGGCCACTCTGTTACAAACCATGCAATCCCTTGGCTTTTTCAGGATTTCTCCTTTGTGCACAAAGTTACAACCTTCCAGCCTTTTATGGGTTCCTCCATGTTCGCCCCTTTGAAGATGCTGCCAAGCCAGTGCCTGCTACCTCTGAAGATTCCGGAGGCTTCTGTCTATCGGCCTTCCTGGGCAATTCCTCCAAAAATTGAACAACTTTCTTTACCACCCACAGCTGCTTTTATAAGAGATGGATACAAGTAAGTACAGCAGCGTAAACTGGAAATATGTGTGTGTATTAGTACAAAGCCATGTGTTCCCATATTGGGCAGCCGTATGGAAATCAGTCTGTCTTCCCCAAAAGAAAGACAAATGAATGGCTGCTTGAGTTGCGTTGATCATCAGTGCCTGAAAAGTCCTGTATGTGTACACACTTTATATTCACAGCTGCTTCACTGGGTCAAGCTCATTATTTTCATAATTTCGCAGCCACAGAGACAGGGCTCGCTGTTAACACTGGCAGTAGGTGCTGTTTGCATCACTTGGTTTTATAGCTCCTAGATGGCAAAGGGCGTCCTTCATTGCCGATACCGTTTCCCCCATTGCTTCCTCTTTCAACTTGCTGCCTCTTCCAAATTTTGACATAACCATCTGCCCATTTGCTGTGCTCTGACCCTGTCTCCTCAGAGGTTAGTGTCAGTCTATTAGCTAGGAAATAATTGGGAAGTAGCTTAGCCCTTCATCTGAATTGCAAACCACAGCTGCTGATCTCGAAGCAGCAAGAATGGAAACTGAAATGCATGAAACCCTTAAAAGCTAACATATAGTGTAGGGTTCTCCCGCAGCAGTGAATTAATTTTAGAGAGGAAGCAGCTTGTATCTTTATTTCAGTCCTTTATATCAATCACTTTCCAGCTCCAAAGGATCTTCAGTGCTCTCAAAGGAATTGGGAGAGGGAGAGAGAGAGAGAGAGAGGGAGAGAGAATCATGATGCTCTTGACATTGTCTAAGCAGCAATTTAATTCCTGGTTTTCTGTATTAGTAACTACTTCCTAAGACCTGAGCTGATTATTAATTGCAGGTATTTATTGGGATAAAATCTCTTATTTCCAATGTAATCCAATTAGAGCAAAGACTATTACTGCAGGCTTCTGCCAAAGAGGTGATTGCTAATCAAGATTTCTAGGTCACCTTTTGTTGCTTCTGTGAGGCACTTACTGTGCTGGAGCGTCTCATTTCTGAACCTGTAGAATACCTTTTTCCTTTCCCTTGACTGGCACTCAAGTCAGTCAGAGATAACAAGAAAATTATTCCAGAGAATCAGGTTTCACCACATTTCCTTCTCAGATTGCTGGCAAAATGGGAGTTCCAAATGAATATTTAAACTTCCGCATTAACTGGAAAGGAACGCAGTTCCATTAAATGTTCAGGTTTTCCTTCCTTCATCAGGGGAGCAAATGCCATAAGGAGCTCAGTCTAAGGAAAGTGTTTTCATTTGTGATATACATAGGAGTGACTATAAGGATCTGTCTCCATGCTTTTCTTACTGAAAAATCCCACAGCAAGAGTTGTGGTCATCGTCTGGAAGAGGTTTCTTTTTGTAATCAGGACCATGTTCTGCCGCCAGAAAGTGATAAAATTATTAAGGAAGCAGTGCCCAGTGTCGGCAGGCAGCAGAAAAAGCATGCACGGCAAATAGGCAAGACACAGATAAGGGCTCAATTTGGCGCGTTCGGGAAACTGGGACTGGGTAAATGTTGCAGTGTAAATGCCGAGCAAACGTAATACACCTAAGGCCCAGTTCTGTCCATGTTTAGACAGGAGAAAGACGGACATCGCCTCGCATGGGGCAGCTGGGGGTTCTGTGCCTCTTTCCCCAGTCTGCATGGTAGATACTTCTTTTCAGCCTCTGCCTGGCACCAAGGAGCACTCCTCGGTCTGGTTGTTGATGGAACCTTTGATGGAGTGTGCCATGCGAACGAGTGTGCCTGGGAATAAAGCCCCACACTTCCTCCCTCCCTCCACACTGTTCTGCTTCCCATCCAGAATGACGCCACAGGCACTCATCGCCTCCTTTCCTTTCCTTTCCTTCCCTTCCCTTCCCCCCGGTTTGCCTGCAGCAGCGTGCCCAGTGTCGGGAGCCTGGCAGATCAAGACTACCTTCAGATGAACACCCCTCAGATGAGCACCCCCGTGACCCTCAACAGCACCGCCCCGGCCAGCAACAGCGGCGCGGGCGTCCTGCCTTCCCCGGCCACGCCGCGCTTCTCCGTCCCCACGCCGCGCACTCCCAGGACCCCAAGGACTCCGCGAGGTGGGGGCACTGCCAGCGGGCAAGGATCCGTGAAGTACGACAGCACAGACCAGGGGTCACCGGCCTCCACCCCCTCCACCACCCGGCCCCTCAACTCGGTGGAGCCGGCCACCGTCCAGCCCATTTTAGAAGCCCACAGCCTGTACGTCACCCTCATCCTTTCCGACTCTGTGCTAAACATCTTTAAAGACAGCAACTTCGACAGCTGCTGCATCTGTGCTTGCAACATGAATATAAAAGGGGCGGATGTGGGGCTGTATATTCCAGATTCGTCGAACGAGGACCAGTATCGGTGCACTTGTGGATTTAGTGCAATCATGAACCGCAAGCTGGGGTACAACTCCGGGCTGTTCATTGAGGATGAGCTGGATATTTTCGGCAGGACTTCTGACATAGGCCAAGTCGCGGAAAGGAGGTTGCTCATGTGTCAGAGCATGCTAATTCCACAGCTCGGGGAGGTATCGAAAAGGGCTCAGGAGCCTCCGGTGAGCCTTCTGCTCCTGATTCAGAATCAGCACACCCAGCCATTCACCTCCTTGAGCTGCCTGGACTACGTGTTCGCGTCCAGCCGACAAGCGCTCCACTACACGAGCTGGAGTTACGACAGAGTCCAGGCGGAAAGCAACGACTCCTGGATCGAGTGCTTCAACGCCCTCGAGCAGAGCCGGCAGTACGTGGACAACCCCACCGGTGGGAAAGTGGATGAAACCCTGGTGAGAAGCGCCACCGTCCACTCCTGGACTCACAGCAACGGTACGGGCCTTGCTTTTCTTTTGGCAAAGGCGCTCTGGGGGTGGAGGGGGCATCACTGTCGTCATGATTATCGCTGCTGCAGTGCAGGAGTGTGGGAAGAAATTCGCCCAGTCCAGACCACAGATGCCACTGCAGAGTCGCTTTTGCATGGAGTTGCGTGGATTCTGTGCACTGTTCTTAAAAAAAACTTTCCTGCTTTATGCAAATTTAGTCCTACAAAAGTAGGTGAAATTTTTTTAAAAGCCTCACCAGAAATACAGTAGATGTGATTGGGGGATTAGCTCACTTTCGGAAGAATAGATTTAGCGCTCATGACTGCTGCTTGGGGTAATTGAAAAAAATCCAATTTCATCAATGGGCAGATGACTGAAAACGCTGGAGGACGTAGGATGGATTTAACAAAATCCATACGTCCTTATTCTAGTGGAAGGGTGGTTCACTTAAATACTGTACCTGTTGGCAAAACAGGATTTGTACAGATGCGAGCAAGGGAGGAAGAGTATATGGAGGAACAGTGTCCCGCTCCGTTATAAGGAAGTACCAAAATGTGTGGAGAGGGAGGCGACCTCAGGGCTTGATCCTGTGCCCTCCATGCAGGAGGCCCCAGGCTGAGTTTCTAGCATCCCCAGCTGAAAGTGTCAGGTACAGGTGATTACAAAGTTCCCCACCTGAGACCGTGAGAGCTGGTAAGACGTCACTGGTCCAGAAGGACAAAAACGCTCTGACTCAGTGCATGTTTTCTAAAAGATGACTAACATTGGACTGTCATTGTAGGCCTAATCCTGGACAGTATTTTACACAGTGTAAGTGTCAGTGCTATAGAGCAGAACATTGTCTGGCAAAATTTCGAGTGCTTTATTTTTCTGTAGAAAATTTGTCAGTTCATAAATTCGTACAAATGTATTAACAATGAATAGATACCAGTTGCAAAGGTTAAGCGAGTAAGAATTTTGAAGTCATAAATCAGTGGTTGTCAGCACATCACGCACAATATTTTGCTTGCTGTATAGCAGTTCAATACATTCATTTCCCCTTAAATTTAATCAATATAAGAGAAGTGGACGCTACTGTCTTTTTATTTTCCAGGCAGTCTAATAAATTGTCTACATAATATAGCATTTGCATCACATTAAGTAGGCTTCAATTTTCCCCTCAAATATTTCAGGTCAAAATTCGTGTTAGCGTTGGTTTTCACTAATAAGAATAAAAGAAACACTCCCTAGAGAAGCCGTGTCCGGTGTGTCATCTTCAAGATGTCTGGGACTTCAACACCCATCTGCCTTATCCAGCATGGCTAATATACAAGAATGTTGCGATCGTTGCCCAAAATCTCTAGAGGCTCTCAGTTTGGCGAAAGCTGCTCTGGAGCATCCGGAATTTCCCCAGCAAAAACACAAAATCATCCATTGCATGTTGACCTTAATTTTCTTAGGAACCTTTTCCAGCTTAACTTTTCCAGAAACTTACATTACAGGAAAATGTTCAAAATTTGGAACAGGGAAGTGCACACACACACTAGAGCAGAAAAACGACCGCGAAGAAACACATCTAGCTAATCTAACTGGTATCAAGGAGCGTCTTCCTGTCTGATCCATGTCCTTCCATGAGTGGTCCAGTTCAGCAGCTCTCTTTCTCTCCTCTAGAACAGGAGCAGGGGAGCAGGCAAACCCCACCCAATCCGGCCCCTTTGGTTTTCCCGAAGGCAGTGCTTCCTTCCTTTGCCACCGCCCCTTGGCATTTTCCCAGCTGTTGTGCAGATTTCCCCTAGCCTAATGGGTATACTGCTTCCTCTAAGGCTTAATGACCAGCAGTGAGAACTTGAAGCCTGTCCCATGTGGGGGCAATTCAGTGGCATCCCTTTTATTGCTGATCCCACTCACCACTGGAAAGGTGGGCCTGAAAACTTTTCTGAAATGCAGTGCAGCCTTCTGTCTGGAAGAGGGTCTCCTGCTCTGCTCTGGAACATCGATCCTCTTTCTCCTCTGCTTATCTGCCTTTGACATTTTCCTTCTAAAATATTTTTCTCTGTCCCCTGCTCCGGCTCGGGGATTTCTTGTTGACTTGTTTACATCTGCCAAGGAAGTTTCTGCTTCCTGAGTTAAAATGTGTTTCTCTCTTCCTTGACTTTCAACTGAATTTTATAACTTCCTGTTTGCTGATCTAACTCTGATCACCATATTCTAACTGAATGTTTGCCCTTGAGATTTCTGGGCTGAAACTAACTAGCATACACACAAAAAGATTAACCTCATAATACCCTAAAGTAAATTAAATGCCAGTCTCAAAAGACACTTCTGTTCCATCAAACATGCATTATCTAATTGGAACCTTTACAGCAATCCTGCCAGTATTACTTTTCTTTGGTGTTTTGGATATTGGGAGTAGCATCAGCCTCAGAGACAGAGGCAGAGACAGAGAGTTCATTGCAGAAATGATATTTGAACCAGAGACGTCTTGGGCCCTATTTCCATCTCTTAGCCTTTACGCTCCACCTGTTGGGTGGGCTAAACTTGCTTCAGAGTCTTGAATCCTCCGTACAAAGTACAAATGTGTTATGAGAAAGTAGCTTCTCTGTCATATATATAAACACAATATCTTTTTAACCCAGGATGCTGAAAGATTTTTTTTTGTAACCTAGCCAAGCATTTATGTTGTGTTAAGATTAAAGGCTGTGTTAGCCATGCTTATAACAGGGGTGCGTACCTGTTACCTTTCAAGGGTGGTTGGACTCAAATTCCGATCATCCTTGAACAATGGCCATGCTGCCTTCAGATGATGGGAATTGGAGTGCAGTAAGATGTGGGGAGCTTCATTTTTCCGCCCTTTATTTAGAGACACACTGACTTATAAGGTTAATCTGGGCATTTGAGGTAAATGTAAGGTCATTCATCCATGGCCAAGTCTTTCTATCACCAAGTTTTTATGACCCAGACATGATATTCGGGCTGTCTGGAATATTCTGTAAAAGACATTATCATGCAAAGTCTGGAGGACTAGCTACATTAGCCCGTTGAAGCAAAAACAACAAAGAGCTCTTTGGCACTGTAAAGACTAAAACACTATTCTGACCTAAGCAGACGCTGCCTCCTTCATTGGAGGCATGTGCTAAAATGTTCAGCATCCGCGGAAGCTTATGCCAGAATACCTTTGTATGTCTTCAAGGTGCCACAAGAGTCTTGGTTTCTGGTTTGTTTGTTTTAACCAAGCAAAATATTCTTAAGATCAGAATGTAAGCACCATAAGTTTTGAACAAAGTAAAGGAACTGAACCGTTAGAGAGAGAGAGAGAGAGAGAGAGAGAGAGAGAGAGAGAGAGAGAGAACACAAACAATACAATTCCCTTTGCGGGGATTTTGGAAAAGCAAGTTTCCCTTTCCATTAATGTTACTGATTGATAATTAGGTCAACTCGATCGAAAGATGTATATCCTTTTCCTGTGCCAGTACTGATGCTCGATTAATGCTGGATATGTGTATCGCCTAAACCCCGCTGTGTGTGTGACTCGGTCCTGACGCCGGTTGTGCTGTCGCTTTCAGTTCTGGACAGCACCATGCTTCCCTCCCGGGACGTTGTCCGCATGCTGCTCTCTCTGCAGCCCTTCCTACAGGACGCCATCCAGAAGAAGCGGACTGGCAGGACCTGGGAGAACATCCAGCACGTTCAAGGACCCCTTACCTGGCAGCAGTTCCACAAAATGGCAGGCCGGGGAACCTACGGTAGAGTAAAGACTGCCGGCTGGTAGTCCTGATGCAGCTTTGCCTCGCGCTGGCGCAGGAGGTTTCTCTTTGCAGGTGCAAAAGGGGTCGTAGCGATGATAGGTGTGGGACAGAGACATCGCCTTCATCTTGTGCAGTATTTATTTATTTAAAGTTTTTCTATGCTGTCCCATTACTAAAAGTCTCTGGATGCCTTACAGAGGACAAGAGAGAGAGAGAGAGAGAGAGAGAGAGAGAGAGAGAGAGAGAGAAGAAATCCGAAAAATCAAGAACAAAAACCATAACAACAGCAACAACACACTGCATCCAACAAATAATGATAAAAACAAGGATAAAACCAATTAGTTGTTAAAATACCGGGAAAATAGAAAGGGCTTCACCTGACTCCAAAAAGAGTAGAGCAGGGGTGCCAGGAGAACCTCCCTGGGGATGGTACATAGATAGACTAGACGTGCACATGGTGCGCATGTCATGAGTGGAGCCAGCTGGAGCCGGGGGTCAGACTAGATGGTCCGGGAGGCCCCTTCTGACTCGCTCTGTTTCTGTGTATTCCACAGTCTGGGTGCCACTGCTGAAAAGGTAACTACCCTCCACATTTCCTTCATAGAGGGTTCCTGGAGAAGGAGCTCTGCCTCCGATCTCAAGGGGTGGGCCGGCACTGAAGGCACTGTCCAGCTGTGGAAGCAGCTGCTTTTTCACAGCAACAAGTGGGGATTTCCCTGGCATCCCGAAAGGCTGTTTTTTGCCTTTGCGTGCTTGCAGCGAAGAGAAGGGGGAGTGGAGAAGAGAGAGGACATGTGTAAATCGGTGGGGAGGTGGCTGGTGGAGCACTAGGGGTAGAGAGAAGAGTTCGGCTTCTTTGAAAGAATCCCCCAATTTTACAGCTCTTCACGGTCAGAGTCCTCTAACTCTCCTTCCTCCCTGCAGGCTCAGAGGAGTCCCCCGAGCCGCTTCCGATCCCCACTCTGCTGGTTGGTTATGACAAGGACTTCTTGACAATCTCTCCGTTCTCCTTACCGTTCTGGGAGAGGCTGCTGCTAGATCCATACGGGGGCCATCGGGACGTGGCCTATATTGTGGTGTGTCCAGAAAACGAGGCCTTACTCGATGGAGCCAAAACTTTCTTCAGGGACTTGAGCGCCGTATACGAGGTTGGTGAGCAGAGGAATTGCCCGAATTTGGATCAGCCTCCCCCCTGCTCCCATTATCTTGTCATCAGCAAGAATTCTGGCATTTTTTCCCATTTCTGTCCTAGTGAGCTCAGCATCTACGCCTTTAGTGGAATATATAGATAGTACCATTTGGGAGGAGTTAAGGGGATGCAGGCTTTAAAATGGCAAGCCTTCCTATAGAAAAACTGGATGTGTTTGTGCACTCCCGAAGGCTGATTCCTGTCTTTATGTGGCACCAGAGGGAGGTCACTGGGTGAAACCAGTAGGTAATGTCTGGTTGCTCCAGTTTTACCTCTGAGGCTCGGTAGCTAAAATCCCTGAAGGATCTGTTAGCCGGACCCAGTTATCTTGCAGGGAAAGTTGGTGCTACGGAGCTGTGAGTCCAGCTCCCCTAGAGCTTTCGCAGCCCTTTTGCATGCACGTGGGCCTTAATGATCTCAAGGCTCTTGATGTGGAAGCAACCAAAGATGCAGCATGAAATCTAAAAGGTTTCGCCGAACTCTCAGCAGAAGACTTGGTCGTAACAGAAAATGGCTTGCAAACTTAAATTCGTGCCATGCCTGGCCAAAGGAAGGGTCCCCAGATGTATTCATGCATTTATTTATTTAAAGCTTTTGTATGCCATCCCTTATGCCTTGGTATCTCAGGACGGCTCACAATCCATAAAACTGAGATACAATAAAATCACATATAAAATAAATTCAGTAAAAAAATACATAAAAGACAAAATCAGAGTGGCTGTTCAAAATGATTAAAATACTAATTTTTAAAATAGTGATTAAATAAAAGGGTTTTGATCTGGCACCAAAAAGAATATAAACTCAGTGCCGGGCGCACCTCTCTGGGGAGCGCATTCCAAATTTAGAATAATAGGGCAAGGAAAGCTGGAGTGAAGTCATACAGCCGTGTAGGTGGAGTTCTTAGAAGTGAGGGCTCATTCCAAGGCCTGCAAAATTTCTCTGATTCAACATGCTGCATTCTTGACACTTGATGACTTCCTGGAACTGAACCCATGAAATCATCTCGGCAGCCTCACAGTTCAGATACGTGGTCCCCTAGCTGCTACTTTTGGGAGGGAACGGCACTGCTCAGGGTAAAGGGAAAGCTCTCGGTGAGATTTGCCCACACAAGAATCAGCGGGACTTTGGGACCGTCAGGGAAAGGTGACTTTTTCTTTCAGATCGTTCCACCTTTAAAAGCCAAGGGCTCAAAAATAGGCACTGATTTTAATGAGTCAATGCTGATTAATCACTTTTAAGTGGAAATTCCTATTGGAAAAGTTTATTTATTTAAATAAAGTTTAAATAAAGTTTATTTATTTAAACCTTGGTATGCCATCCTCCATGCAAGGCAAGGCATCTCGGGACGGCTCACAATCAATACATTAGAACAATCAATAAAATCACATACATTAAAACAATCCAAGCGGTAAAAGCAGTAAAACGGGACTGTTACATTAATACTAGTTTTTAAAATACCAGTTAAATAAAAAGGTTTTGACCTGGCGCTGAAAAGAGTACAAGTTAGCTTTGGTTTTTTCTTTAGCTATGCATGTTCATATGTACTTTGAGTGAGAAGTGCAGGTTTAGTTCCATAAGTGGCTTGTCAGCTCATGTTTGTGCATTACCTGAAATGCGAAACTCAGGAATGAGCTTGGCACTCAAATCTTGCAAATGTTCACCTGCGCAGGGCTTTGAAAACTCAGCAGAGTGAGGCGATATACACATTTTCCAATAGGTTGCATCATTCATTCTAGGCCTGGGTGGCACTGCCAGTCCTTTTTCTTTTGTGTTCTTCTCGAAGGCCTCCGTTATTCTGGGGACAGCAGTAGTATTTTAATTATCCACTAGGAAGCAGTAATGCTTAAGCAACAGAGAAGCTGGGTAGCAGAAACATAAACTCAGCCAAAGTTCCCACAATTGCAGATACTGTAGGGGGAAAGTCGCTGATGTAATTTGCTTGTTATTGCAACCATTGTGACAGCCAGGGTCTCATTGAAAGAAAAGCAAAGAAGCACACAGGCAATTAAGTCTCACTGAAATAAGAAGCTGGGTTTCCCCTTTAAGAAATAAGAAGCTGATGTAACCACTAAATTGTCCTTTAGGGTCTCTGCCTCATTATGAGCCAATTGTAACAGGTGAGAGCTGGATTTGAGTTTGCTTTTTCAGTTTACTTATTGAAAAATCTTTTTTTTACTGGATTTTGGATGCCTAGATTCATATTTCTTTGACACGTGAATTTGTTATATTACTGCAGTCAGTTTTTCTCCTTATGCTCCTAGATGTGTCGGCTTGGCCAACATAAACCAATCTGTAAAGTGTTGCATGATGGAATCATGCAAGTGGGAAAGACTGTGGCCCAGAAGCTGACAGATGAACATGTGAGCGACTCCGTCAACCCACCCTGGGGCAATGAAGATTGTGACAATCATTCCAGGCTCAAACTTTATGCGCAAGTCTGTCGTCACCACCTAGGTAAGCAAGGAGAACGGGGGTTGCGAAGGACCTGGTTTTAGTAGACCTGGTGGGTCTCCTTAACTTGCAAACCAAATTGCCGGGTGTTCTCCCTCTAGAGGACTCGGGGACTCAGCCAGGTTGAGGAGCCTGGATACAGATATATCTTGTTCTTCCAGCCAACTGGACTCTGCTTTGCTGCTCACACTTTATTCTTTTTGGGTTGAACATTGGGGTGAATACAAAAACACAGGTATGTGCTGATGAGTTGGCCTCATGAATCGGTTTGGCTGCAGGGCTTGGTATCTGATCAAAAAGTTACGCTGTCCAGTTTGAGCTGTCGTATTTCAGGAACGTATACAGAGAAGAAAGAGCATTTATGTTTCGTTTCCAGGATCATTTGCTGGTGTTTCTGCCAGACATCTTTGTACGTTGTATTCTGGGACACTGGAATAATTTCATTAATCAGATTTCAGTTTGCTGCATTCTTCCCAGCCAGCCTCCTTGTACTTCATTTACATATTAATTGACAGCTTCAGAGCTTGAGACTATATATGTTTAATTGGAATGATGTCATCATTCTTGAACAAACCAGGAAAGGAAAAGGCATAAACATTTGCTGTTGGTTTCAGAAAACAACTATGTTGAGGTTGCTTTTCATTAGTGATTCCAAAGTAATTTACAATAATACAAAACTACTTTTAAATGTAGCACATACAGAATCAGTGTAGAGCAGATGAGAGGTAGCACCAATATGTAAAATGCCCAAACAAATAATTTTTTAGCTTAGTTTGACTAAAAGACAACTGTGATGGAGCCAAGTGGGAAGAGGCATTCTGTTGAAAAGCGCTCTCTCTCTCTCTCTCTCTCTTTCACACACACACACACACACACACACACACAGAGAGAGAGAGAGAGAGAGAGCGCGCGCACGCAATAAGGGAGTTTTCTGGGGTAAGAAGTGTAGAATACATGGAAATAATTTAAAGTTCAATAATACAGTATTCGTGGGGGTTGCATTCCTAGAGCACCTGCAAATTGTGAAAAGCCGCGAATTCTGAATGTGGTAAAGGTTCATTGCCAGAAGCCTTAGAACAGGGGTCCTCAAACTTTTTGGGGGGCCAGTTGAAAGGTGCTGGGGATGGGTGCGGGTTGCCAAGGCAGTGCGGGCGGGGGTTGCAGGCCAGGCCGGTGGGGGGGCAGGCACACGTGGTGAGGCAGGGGCAGGGGCGTTTGTGCGCAGAGATCATTTTCTCCGAGCGAGTCCAAACTGATTTTCTTGCGGGCAAGGAGATCGGTTTGGACTAACTCGGAGAAAATGATCTCCTTGCGAGCAAGCCACCACACAGCGAGGAAAATTTCACGAAAGACTGAGGCCGCGAACGCTGAACTGTGTCTTCACGGGGGGATACTGTAATGTTAGTTCCCTGACCAGTTGATACTGAAAGGGTTATAGACAGATTCCTTGCTGAGTTAAGAAGGGGCTGTAACCTGATGGGCCCAGCTTAAGTTCCTACGACGTGACCTTGCCTTTGGCATTGGGAAGTACCGAACCGGCAGAAACATCTGGATAGAAAGAATTCACCTTGCTTCATATTAATGAGAAAGATCTCACACATGCCACTTACTCTATGGAAAAACAGGGAAAGGCCAAGTAAGGAACGTACATCACCAACAGTTTTGGGCTAGCAGAGGTTATCCGCTAAAAGCAGTCCCACCATTATGTTCCCTTCAGTTTTATAGTTTCTACACTTAAACATGATCCTTGATGTGCCTGTTTAGTGTATTTTGATTGGCCACTGTATGCTTACTCTCACCTCCTCATAATTTTTTTGTCTCCCATGGTTTGTTATTACTTCTGCAGTGCTATAGAAATTTTCCAACTTGTTCTCTTGTGGTTTCGACTTGTCTGGGGCATGAACTTTATTGAGCAAGAAATTTTCTCGTAATGTTCTCTTTCCGAGCTGCCTGCCAGGAAGAGCTCAAAAGAAAAACTTTGGTTCAGACAGTCCCGGTGCCTCATATGCTCCTTGCCTACGTTATTTCCCTTAAAGGAGCAGCTGGAGCAAGGCATCCGTAGATGGCTTTAAAGGCAGGTTAGTGTGGGAGTAGGAGCTTCTGATGCAAGACTGCATTCTTCTGTGACCCTCTGCTCTGGCATGTAACACTTGTAGGGAAGTGTAAATGGCCTTGTTTAAGGCTGAAGTGGGCCTAATTAGCAGTACTTTCTCTCCGAGTATAGAAATTGCACTCTCCTGCTTAATGGATTACTTTAAAATTAAAAAAATAAAATTAAGGTGACTGTAACATGTATGAGCTTCTGAGTATCCCAAGGACAAAACAGAGAAGTGATTAAACATAGGAACTTGTCTTTAAGAGAAACAGGACGTAAATCTAGCCAGCATGAAGGCAAAATATAAGTGCAGCTTTAAACACTGTAGCATCAGGTCTATATTTAGCAGTTGCATTTATTTTTGTGGTGAAAAAATTTGTTTTTTTAAAACTTGAGTGGTTTTTACTTCATCGTTGGAGCAGACTCAGGCCATGTGCTGCCCCTGAGAATGCACCTGCCTTAGTGAGTTCTTTTCCCTCCTTCTCTCTTCCTCCCCGCTCATATGCACCAATAAATAGCCCCGTAGGGTAATCAGGTGGGATGGTGAGAGTAGGAGGCAGGGTCTGGGCCCGCCAGGTGCAGCTGTGCCCTGGATTGTGGCGTTGGGAACCTCGGCTCTCTGACCTGTGCAGGAATACGCCTCCTCCACCTGGTGGGGAGCACCATTCAAGCCCAGAAGCAGGCAGCTTTGCACTGAGCGCTATCCTGAAGCTTGGATCAGCCGGGGAGGCATCTGTGTGTCTATGCCCATGTGGTGTGGTGGTAAGAGTGTTGGCCCAGGGACCTGGGAGCTCCAGGTTCAAGTCCCTGCCTGCCCATGAAGCTGACCGGGTGACCTTGGGCCAGTTGCTCACTCTCAGCCTCACCTACTGCACAGGGTTGCCCTTATGAAGATAAAAATGGGGCTAAGAGAGGAAAACATGGAGTATAAATACAATGTAATATCATTATCATCACCATCACTGCCATCATCAACTGTTTTGGCATTTTCTTTTAAATACCCAAGAAGCTTTTCTTCTAATATTCATTTACTCACCCATTTAAATGATTACTTCAGCTTCAGGAATCATCTTACCAGCAGCTTCCTCTCTGACGGGGTCAACAAGCCCTTCATGGCACCAACTTTGCCAAAGAGCGCAATCCTGTGCAAGTTGAGACAGAAAAAAATGCTACCGCACTCACACGGCTGGCCATGAAGGACACTTTTCTGCCCAAGCCTGCCCAGGAATGTGCCTGAAGACATCAGGAGAGGCTGTATCTGGGGAACTAGTGGGTTGTTAACCTGAGTTTAGAGCAGAACAGGAGGAATCTGTCACCCTGCTGGAATTCAGCCAAAAGGTTAAATGACTCCCACAGAGTAGCAGATCTCTAAAACGGTGGATGAGAGGTTTGCGACTGAGCTACCTACCTTGATCAAGTGAAATTGCAGTTCTCATCTGCCTACATTCTCAGTTGGACTGGAGGTCATGAAATTGCCATTTTGGCTGAAATCTGTATGTGAGAAGCCTCAGAGCATCGGTGTTGAGCTTCTTCCAGCTCAGCATACAGTTTTGGAGAAGTTGTTGGAGAATGCATTCCAATAGTGAGACCAAAATATCAGAAATGCCCGCATATTTTAGCTTACAGCTCCTAATGCCCATAAATAACTCTTAGAGATACATTTTAGGCTTTAAAAATTGGGGGCAGGGAGCATACACAAAAGCCAAATAATTGATAGTTGAAGAATAGGGTTATACTTAGGGTTGGAACCCTGGGTCCAAGAATCAACATGCTCACTTCATTGAATATCTTGGCAATCAAAATTTTAACTGGGCTTTTATTCAGAATATTCAAAGATTGCCTGGATCAGAGGCACTGTATGTGTTGATCAATGGTTCTGAAACCTGCAGAAGAAAGAAGACTTTTGATGATAATTATCAATAAAACATAACATTCTGGGAGTGACCAGAATGATGAAAAATATTTCCTAGGCAGTCAGAAAACTTAAGAATTTTTTTTCCACAATTTCCCTGCTAAAATACTTGAAAATAAGGAGTGCTTATCACTTTTTGACAGAAATTCCAAACAGAACCTTTTGATTGGATATCTCCTGGTGCTAAGATTGTGATTGTGGTCACCCAGAACAAATCCACCCATATTATTATTCCATAAAAAGAGACAAAAATTATTGGCCCTACTCAAGAAATCTTGGGAAATGGGGTGAATGGGGACACTGAAATCTCAGGATCCCGAAAATAACCTTGTGGTGTGAACCACGGTCCACCAAAGAAAGAAGCGGGGAAGGAAAATCTTCAGTAGCAAATTTAACAATTATTCATGTATATCTACATATAAGTGATCCTGGAACCTGATTACTGGAAAAAGAAGCCTTAATACTAGAGCGAAAAGTTAAAAATGGGATAAACTTCAATTAAGATAAGAGTTTTTCCCCCTAGCTGAGTTCATAAAAGCTTCAGATTCTGTACTCTGTATTTGTATTCTTTTGCATTCTGTATAGCTGTTATTCTTGGGTGGTCTGGAGCAGCATCTTCATACTCCCATGTTAAAGCCCTTGAGAACCAGTGTTTGAAATGGCACCCATTCTGCTTGATGCTTGTTCCACCTGGCTGGACCAGTAAGGGCTGGTTTAGCCTTACTGTTTTCAGCTTTGTGCTAGAACGGCTTCGGGGAAATAATAGACACAAGAGATGGAGCACTACTATAACAAGGACGGAAATTCATTGAGTTTCATACAGTGTACATTTAATATTGTATGGCTGACTTTAAAATAACAACATTTCATGTCAGGGGCCCCATAAAAAGGTCCAGTGGAACCCATTGAAATCAGCTTGGATTGAAAAAGGTTATATTGCTTCAGGCATCTCAAAAGCTAGAGGGGTGGCAATTTTAGTAGCAAAACACTTTGAAATAGATATGACAGATATTCTGCCAGGTACCAGAGGCAAGCATGTATTTGTGAACAGGTCAGTTGGAAAACAACAAATCATTGTAGGTTTCATATATAGCCCAAGTACTATAATTTTGAAGAACAGAAGAGGTATCTTGCACTTTGACTGAATTTAAGGGTGGGAAAATTATTTAAGTTGGGGTGGAATCTATATTATTTGTTTATGATTCTACCCCATTGCTCTGAAGTCAATGAAGACAGACAAATTCACAATATGAAAAATAATCTTAACTCTATAAATGAACTTAATTTGGATAGGAAGGGTGCAAAATTAAAGTTTAATAATAATGAATCATCCATAGAAAATTACAGATGCATTTTAAGCAATGCAAAACCTATACAAGGATTGGCTATATCATTTTATAGGTCTATACCCCTGTCCATACAATAGGCACAACTGGACAATCAACCATTCTGGATCAAGCTCCACTTTGATAATGATTCATTTGGTTGGGAAATGCACATATAATCCAATAGTACAGCTTAGGGAAATAAATCTTTGTAGATTTAAAGATCTATTTATAGCAGTTCTGTTTTCAGGAAGACCATATTCCCAAATTCAGGCCTGCAAATTAACTAGATTTATCAAGAATATGTTCCATTGGGTACCAGCTACATCAAATCTCTCATTTTGACTCCTATAATTTGAGCACAGGTAATCAGTTCAAATAGTTAATACTCAACTCAGATCATATCCCATGGCATGTCCCATTTTAACTTCCAAAATCTGTAAAATTCTGACAGTGGATTCAGTGGGAAGTCAAACTTGATTTTTAAAAAAAATGGCAAGAGGATCATAACAAAATAACTAAACCTAACAGCTGAAGGAAAATCTGGCATGAAAAAACTTTCCAGACAGCTTTGGCAAGAGCTAGGGAGAATGCTTTAGATGGTAGAGGATCCCACCTGTGTTAAGCTGAATCCATCACACCTTAAGTCCAAATGTTGGAGGCACTGGGTGGTTATTGGCCTATTCCAGCACATGTGGCAGTAGTGTGAAGTGGGTGGCAGGAGAATTTAAGTTTTTCGGTGAATGTGGTTTCCTTAAAAACTCTCATATTCAGCCAGTCCCTAAGTTCTATCATTATTTTCAGCATCAAATGAAAATCTGCTGCATAAAGAAGCAAGACATACGTGTTCTTAGCGGCATATCAGATAGTAAAAAAAGGCAGGGCGGGCAAGCAAGAAAGTGACTATACAACTGTGGTCTTATTACTTATGGGACTGCTGAAAAAAACCAACACTTCCCAAATGAGGGAGGATGGATAACAACAGAACTCAGACTCTCCATCATGAATTGGTTTGTTTAGCTGACTTCATCACCAGCCATGGAAATAATAGGAGCCTGTCCGTGACACGGGACGTATTAGCAAAGACACGTTTGGCAGTCAGTTGCAATAAGTTAATTTGATTGCATACTTTAATTTAATCAAATGCTGTCCTATGCTATCTCAGTTATCAATTGCAGAGAATTCTCTTGGGTCCACTGAGAGAGCAAGAGAGAGAGAGAGAGAGACAGACAGAGATACTAGTTTTTTAAATTTTGATATATCCAAAGTTCAGTCTTTTTAAAGCTTTGTGCAGGAAAGGGAGTAGAGTAACTCCCAGTGTTGAGCTAGTTCATGGGGCCACTTTGACTTCCTCTTGCTGCTGCAGCTGTTCTGGGAAAGGGTACCAGGAGGTCTTGGTCCACGAACAAATGAATGGGGCCAGAGAGTCCTGCTCCCTGAGGACCTGGGAGATTTCTAATTTGATATACAGAGTCTGGAAGTAAAAACATATCAATTAAATTTGTCAGTGGAGCAAACAGCAAGGCACTTCCTGGAACGCTTTCCTGGCACCCACAACGTGAACTGGCAGCAACGAGTCAGGACCGTGTTTTCTCCTTTCCTCCCACTCGTTGCATTGCAGGAAACCTGTCGAGACACTTGTTTCTCATTCATTAAAGTTCGTAGAATGGAAATGCTCTGTTTGTCTGCCCGCCGCATTGTTGGAAGCCTTCACTGGCCTTCCCCAGCCAGGTGCCCTCCAGCTGTCAGCACGGCACAGACAAAAGCTGCATCTGGAGAACACCTGGCTGGGAAAGCCTAGGCTAGACGATTGAGTGCGCCTTGCTGCCAAGCCTTCCTCCTCAGCTTGTCCTGACCTACCTGCCTCCGTGTGTTCTTTCAGCACCTTACTTAGCTACTTTGCAACTTGATAGCAGCCTCCTGATGCCACCTAAACACCAGACTCCACCGCCGTCATCCAGCCAGGAACCAACCGTAACTGGCAGTGGGGCATCGGTTCCCCCCAGTTCGGCCTGCCTTGCAGCCCCTGCACCCCCCGCCGCTGGCAGCTCCTTCACTTCCACGCCCAGCAGTGGCACCACGGGGCTTTCCTCGGGCAACAGCTCAGCCTCCGGATCCACAGCACCGCAGCTGCCCTCCTCCTCCTCCTCTGTAGCCAGTATTAACCAGACAAGCACTACCTCCTCTTCCGGGTTCAGCGGTGGCCTGCCTCAAGGTCAGAACCCAGTTCCTGGGGCAAATTCCACGGAGAGACCTCAAGGAAACGCCGTCTCGGGAGGAGATGCGGAGACGGGACAGAGCTCATCTCAACCACAGGAAGGGCAGGAGAGGTAAGACCAGCGGATGGGTGTCATGTCACCGTAGTGGGTTTTAGCTTTGTGCACGAGAGCCAACCTTCTACTGATAATCTCAGCAGGGTGGGCAAAAGGTCTGCTAGAGGATCCCTGGGTAACTTGGCTGCTGACTCCCGATGGTCTTGAAAATAGCTAAAAGCTCCCCGCTCAGCTGAGTCACCAAAAAAGGATGCCTGTGGGAAAGGAGGGGTGGATTTCTGGATAGAAGGACCTTTAAGCATGGTTCTGGTTCTGGTCACATGCTTAAGCCCATCGATTTCGGCATGTGCACATATTTTCGTCTGCTGGGGCACATGGTCTGTGTTTTTTGAAGGCTATGGTGTAGATTAAACCCTTAACATTAAACGTGGTGCTTTTATCATTTGCTGTAGGAAATGCCTCCTGAGCTAAACCCTTTTCCTTTGGAGCATTTCTCCTTTCTCTCTTGCCACCATGCCAGTCCTCGTCATGCTTCCCCCCCCCCCCCCCCCGTTGCACCTCTTCCTCAAAGCTAGCACCTAATGTGTGTTTCCATAGTTCTGCAGAGAAGGAAAGGATAGGAATTCCCACTGAACCGGAGTCTGCAGACAGCCATTCCTACCCTCCAGCTGTCGTCATTTATATGGTGGATCCCTTCACCTACACTTCAGAGGAAGAATCTGCCTCTGCCAACTTCTGGCTCTTGAGTTTGATGCGATGCTACACAGAGATGCTTAGCAACATCCCTGAAAACATGAGGAGTTCGTTCATTCTCCAGGTAACCTCCCCAGAGTTCCAGAAAGGTAGACGTGCTTTGACTTCAGCTGACTGGAAGAAGAGTGTGCATTACTAGAGACTGGCATTTTTTTCAGCCAAGCAATGGTCTTACCAGCTTTGGATGTATCTTGTTTATCTAGGCACCTGTAATATGGTTTTCAAGCACATGGCATGTTGCCAGAGGAAGTCCAAGCAGCAGGTACAAGATGGGGCAGAGCATGTTCTCTTCTGTGGCCTTTTTCCAGGGAGCAGAAACTGTACAAAATGTTAAGAGTAATGTGACCTTTATAGGCTTATTGTGCCTGTCAAATGGAAGTTAAATTTATGTGGTACAGAGTAAACATGCATACCAGTCAACCTGCTTCACACCCACACAGCAATCATGCACAAACCGTTCGAATGATGATCTTGAGCTAATCCCATCTCTTTTTCAAACTAGCTGCACTGGCAAAACTTCACATATTTCTGCTGTCGCTGTGCAAAAGATGAGGTGCAACAGGCACCAGAATAAATAGACATAAAGATGGTGCTGACTAACAGACCTACATTTTTAAATCAATTATGATTCTGTTGTACCCAACAGCTCTGCTGTGCTTACAGATAGTTCAAGATGTGTTCCATAAAGATAATTGCCCTCGGTGAAGCACAGATGAGACTTTAAGGCCGAAACCTTTGTCTGGAGTATTTTGCTATAGATTAGGGATTGCATGATGGAAAGTTTTCCCATGTAGATGGTGGGAAAGCTTCCATCCCCTAAAAAGTCAAAATGTTAGAGTCTAGGCTAGGACCTTTCTCATTGGCACCCAAAGTTCTGTACTGAAGGTTTTATTTCATTTGTATGAAATGCCATTCCAGCATATTGAATCCCTTACTGAGAGCATCCCAGATACAGGATTCTTAGTGTTTCTGTATAGAGCTATAGTCTCTCTTAGGGGAACTTATTCATTTAAAACATTTGTATTCTTTCCTATTGTGCCACAGCACCTCTGGGTGGCTTACAATTACAAGATAAAAACACAACAAAAAACTAACATAGTAAAAATGAATTAACTTTAAAATACCAGCAGAAAATACAAAACAGAGGTCTTATGGTATTCGTTATTAAAATATTTTTAAAGGGATTCAGAGTTTCTCCTGCAGGCTGTGCAGTTGTGACTGTGTCAAACACACTGTTGAAAATTGTTTCTGGCTGACTAACTGAGGGCAGAACAGGCGTATTGACAGTAGATTAAATCTTGATCACTGCAATTATGTGAAAGGCACACTTGTGGGAACTTCCCCGAGGTTGCTGCAGCCTGTGCGAATGGCAACTCTGCCTTGTGTTAAAGGAGCAGTATAAATGTGGAATCATTTGCCAGATGACTGCAGGCCCAGGTGGGCTGCAAAGCTTGCCCTCCACGTTCCAGCGGAGCAAAGCTCAGGCAACCAAGGTTAAATTTGGATGCCAGGAAGCACTTCCTGACAGTTAGGACCCCGAGGGTGTGGAACGGGCTTCCATGGAGGTGGTTGCAGTCCCATCGGTGTGGGTGTTCAAGGATAGGCTGGATGTGCACATGGTGGGCATGTCATGAGCGGAGCCGGGGGTCAGTCTTGATGGCCCAGGGGACCCCTTCTGACTTGCTCTGTTTCTATGTTTCTAACTCCAGTCTAGCGACACCTTCTGGAGTAGTGCATCCCCCTTACCTGTGCTTTACCTGTGTTTGATGGATGTGGTCCTAAGCATCAGCCTCTAATCCTTCCTATGGGCTTCCTTGTTTCTCTGCCGCACTCTAGATTGTGCCTTGCCAATACATGCTGCAGACCATGAAAGATGAGCAGGTCTTTTATATTCAGCACTTGAAGTCCCTGGCATTTTCGGTCTACTGCCAGTGCAGACGCCCTCTGCCCACACAGATCCACATTAAGTCTCTGACTGGCTTTGGGCCAGCGGCCAGCATAGAGACGACTCTCAAGAACCCGGAGGTGAGTGCTTTGGCCCCGAGACGTCTGCGCGCTTGTGTTCCACAGCCTCCCACTGAACTCAGAATAGCTTGTGCTCAGTCAGAGTACCAAAGCGCTGTCTTGTGCTTAAGTTGCCCCAGGGAGAGAAGACCAAGAAGGAAACCCAAACCAGCAATGGAGTTCGAGGCTACCAAAGCTGTTTCCATATATGAAATGGGTTAACTATGCAGTTGGATTCGTGGACATCAGTGGGAGGCAGTTTTCCCACCTAAATTTTAGAAGTGGCGGCCGAGAAAGCAATTTGTTCCTTTTCATTGAATACCCCAAGATTTCTCTCTTGCACTGAGGCAAATACACAGGAGAGATTTGCCTATTCCACCCTCTCAACACCCTTCCAGCTTCAGGATCGGATAGCAGATTTTGCCTGGGCAGGAACTCTGGGGCAGTCGGGTGGGGTAGGGGTGGGGGAGAGAAAGGAAAAGCTTCCCTCCCAGTTAACAGTGTTGTCACAATATCGTATTTGAGCTGCCACTTGAAATAGCATCCTATTTTTCTCCAGACAAAAAATAGTTCTGATAGCTGTATATGCCGTTCCAGTTTAAGAGGTAGCATGTCTGCTGGCATTGGAACTTGGGCTGGAGGCTGTGGGGGTTTTGCGGGCAGCTGGTTTGCCCATGTGTGAATGGATTTCAGGCCCAAATGGTCCCTTGGTCTGGACCAGCAGGCCTTTTATGTCCTTAAGACCAGTCAGAACCCAAGCCCGGGCAGGGCAGGGCAGGGCAGGGCAGACTGGCCCAATAGGCATAATTATGAAATCTAGAAACATCACTAATTTTCAGTGTGAGCTCCCCCAGCATTAACACCTTCATATTCTCCCGTGTGTTCTCCTTGTATAAACTTTTAAGCTGCCTTGTGAACCAGAACGGGTATGGCATTGCTTGGAAACTCAGTATTCCATGTATTAGCTTTGGAAAGCGGGAAGTTGAGTGCATACTGAAGTGGGTTTGAGTGTACAAGGGCAAGTGAGTCCAGAGCTTGTGCCAAGAATCATGGTTTTTGGTTTTGCGGATAGTTGTACTGAGAGTTGCTGAAATTCATGTGTTAAGAAAACATTGGGCTATATCGTGGCCCAGTTTAGCCAACATGGTCACACTCCGATAAGCCATGGTTTTGTCAGACCAAGAACGAGCACTGTGCTTGTGCGCACCGTCCTCCTCCTCTGTGAAACCAAGGTGTTGTTGCATCTGACCTGAGAAACCATGGGTTAAGTTCTGGTTCAGGGACTAGTTAGAGCTGAAGCATCCGTTTCCTGGTTCAGACTGATTAAGGAACTGTGGTTTAAGATATCACAGGATATTTGTGTTGGGGCTGAAGGGAGAAGAGGGGAGGCGGCCCATGGGGCACAGGGCTTGTCCTTGGTCCAGAAACTAAGGCGTGGGCTTGTGTTGAGCGTTCTGTATGAAATGGCGACTGCACTCCGATTCTGAGATGTTTGCAACTCGAGTGCTCGAGGTTTGGACGAATCTACCGTTTGCACACACGGCCTGCTTCCCATTGAATGGCTTGCTTCGAGCTGGGAGAGGCTGCCACTGTGACTTATGTGATATTTGCACCTGGTGCAAGACGTCTTCTTTTATATCTATGTGCAATGACCTCTCTTTATAGCGGCCCAGCCCCATTCAGCTGTACTCCCCTCCATTTATCCTGGCACCCATCAAAGACAAACAAACAGAGCTGGGGGAGACCTTTGGAGAAGCCAGCCAGAAGTACAATGTGCTTTTTGTTGGGTATTGTTTGTCCCATGACCAGCGTTGGCTCCTGGCCTCCTGCACCGACCTGCATGGCGAGCTGCTGGAAACCTGCATTGTCAACATTGATTTGCCAAACAGGTAGGGCGGCAAAAGAGGCTTCTGCGTTTACTGGTGGCAAAGCATGGGCTTTGCATGTGGCGGGCTCCGGGGTCAGTCCTAGGCTTTCCTGCCGAAAGGACTGGCGGGTTGCAGCTGCTGCTTTTCCCGCTGCGCTGGAGGGCTGCTTCCATTCAGGAGGCGCAGTTTTGAGCTCAAGGGGCCAGTGGACGGACGCGGTTTAACACAGCTTCATATGTTCACCCGGCGGTGCTCACCAGGTTCTCGTTCAGTTGCTTGTCTAACGAGAAAGAGCCAAATAACCATCCGTGTGAATGTGTACTACTGCTTTGCATCCTGGTTCTTAGACAATGGGCCAGAGATGTTCTGGAAACTTCATGGGATTAAATGTTAAATAAGCTATTTCTACAGCAGGCTCCAACTTGGCACTTGGATGAGGATAATAGTAATTAAAACAGCACCTGACTAGCACTTCAGACTTTCCACACCTTGTTTAAAACGGTCCTATAAAGGTAGATCAGCCTCCTTATTGACTTAGGGCAGGGCTAGGCAAGGCCGTGTCCAAGGAAACCAAGATGCAAGAATATTCTTTGTCCTTTCTCTTTTCCATAGATCAAGGAGATGCAAGGTATCCGCTCGTAAAATTGGCTTGCAGAAGCTGTGGGAATGGTGTATTGGGATTGTCCAGATGACATCACTTCCGTGGAGAGTTGTGATCGGACGCCTTGGGCGACTTGGCCATGGGGAACTGAAAGGTATGGAGGCCACGTGGCCTTTCGGGTGGCTGAGCACAGTGTGGAAGCGCTGGCTCAGGAGAGCAGGTCAATGTCGCTGCGGCATTACTTGAAAGGGGGCAGCCCCCTTGAGCACGGCTGCAGCTCTCCACATTTTAATGCGCTAGTGGGATTCTTGAAAACAGAAAGCACGCTCTGCTGCTTCTTCCATATGGGAGTGTGGATGCCGAACCGTAGGCCTGGAGGTCCAGGCTTGACCTTCCCCAGACGACCACACCTGCGTCCCTTGATCATGGCTCAGTTTGGGATTCCCTGCTTTTGTATAGGTGTTTCTTCCCCTGTCCAAATGGCTGAAATGCCTTTTCTTGGGATTAGTTACCAGCAAGAGGAGCTTGAGAGCATGATATTCTGTTTTGTTTTTTATATCTCTGCTTTTGATTGCACCCACCACTGAAAAGCAGAGTCTGAGAGCTTTTCTAACGTTGCATCCGGCCTTGGCTCCCACCCCTGCTCAGTTTGCCATTCTGCATTTGTTAGTATTCTTCAGTAACTGCTGGATCCTAAAAAAATCATGTTCATTAAGAAAAAGGTGGTATGGATTTGCAAGTAATTTAGCTTAAGATGGATACATAAATGGTCAAGAAAAAATCATAAGAGACTCACGAGTGAGGAGCGCTACTTAATACGGGGAGTTAGACGCCGTTGGACAAGGCTGTGTTGCGGCGCGATTCTGTTGGTGCTAGTCCTCATGGGGACTGGTGAATGCGTAGCCCATGGCCGGGAATGTGTCAGGTCGAGGTTGCAGCTGTACCTTGCGACTGGATCCACAGCGTCTTTCATGCCTCTGCCCAGCTGGAATTCCTGATGTAGCACAAATGACAAGCTTCCAGTAGACCATCCATTCCAACAGTACCGCTCCGTGATCCGAGTGAAGGCACTTGATCTCACACTCCAGGGTGGCTGTTCTCTGGAACTGCCTGTGGAGAATACCCATCGGTGGTTGGATTGTGTGGACCACCAGCAGCAGATGTCTCGCCTTGCGGCACTTGCAGAAATCCCCTCATCTCATGGACCGCACTGCTGCTAAACCGTCAGGTTCTGGTTTCCTGAAACTATGAAATGGATTTTTCTCTGTTCTCAAAAGCCCATTCACCATTCCGATATGGACATTGCAGCTTGCCTGGGACTGTTCTGAGTCTTCATTTCATGACTTTCCTCATTCCTTTTTGTGCTGTTCTTAAGGAATGTCAGGAATCCAGGAAGGTCTAAATAGAAAACACGTCTATTTTTAATTTTGTCTGCCTGTCTCATGATGAAGTTTGGTGAACGAACTTCCTAGCAGCGGATGGTACGGGGAAGGGAGCATGTACACTGGATCCTCTTCTGCACCCCTGTGTATCCATCACTTTTGCCTCACTGTTCCTCTAAGCAATGTTCTGCTTATTGTTAGTCTCTTCTGAGAACACCTCTGTCAGCCTCTAAAGCAACAGAAATTCATGCAAGTGTTCCACCACTGAGCCCTGTGTGGTCTCAGGCATACGGTGTCTCTGTCCACTCAGTCTGTGCTATTTTCTCTGTTCACCTGTAGCTGCACACATTTCTCCATGTTTCTGGACGAGAACTTTTTGTTTTTCTCTGCTTTCATCTGTGCTCAAGCCTTGTCACACCAAACAAGCAGGAGAAGCAAAAAAGAGAACAGAGACATTCTGAATTTCCAAGTGTACATTTTTCCTTTGTCATGTGCAGGCTGTTTGGAGCATCAGCGCAAGTCAGTCTAGTTCCTTCTGTAGAGTTATAGCTTGTCAGATAAAGTCACCTGGGGAAGAGTTTGCTGAAGTGCTTCTACAGCGTTCACTCTTTGTACTTCTGATGCCAGACTCTTCTATTGTGTTGCTGTCCTGGAAAGGAAGAGAAACTTGACTTTGGGATGCCTGTGCAATCAGTGAGATCCTTCTTCTGCAGTGTGCTCCCAGTCCCGCAAAGCAAAAACAAAGTGTAAGGCTGTAGTCCTGTGCGCACTGGCATGAGAGTAAATGAACAAAGCAGAAATTACTTACAAACAAGGACAGTAAACTCCTGGAGGCAAACTTCTGAAAGAGTCCAGCAAGCATCCCTTGGTGCTCACAGAATGTTGCGCCAGCTGATTGTTGAAGGGAGCAAAAGGAGAGGAAGCCACGGTGGAGGGAGGACGATGGAGCGTGCAGTTTTGCAGAAGCGCATGCCCGGTTTCTTGCCATGCTGAGCAGACACATTCCATACTGCAACAATTTATTACAGGGCAGCAGAAACCATTTCAGGTCTGCTGAAACAAGCGGTCAAGTCACTTTACAGAGATCGGGGCTGCAAAGAGATAGTTTACCTCTGATCACCACCACTGTCTGTCTGATGATCACCGACCAGCACCAAACCGGATCTCTTTGAACCTCAGCACTGCAAACCCCTTTCTTGAGCTGTCTGAACATCCCAGAGCAAAGCCCAGCATTGGTGTCTGATCCCCACAACACACCCTGCTCTCCTCCGAGCTCACATTTATGCAACTACAACAACTCCTCTGCAGAGCAATACAGACATCAGTTTAAATCCCTAGTAAGCAGCAGCTCATAGCACTGGAAGGCAAAGGCACATGGCCTTCGAGATCGTATCTACACAACAGATTATAAACAAGGGCAGCCCACAAGGAAAAGCAGGTGCCAGAGTGAGCTGGCAGCTGCTTTCCAACTGATTCCTGTCGTCCAGGAGTAACAGCAGTGAGAAGCACACGCTTTTCTCTCTCGTTCTTTCTGCTGAGAAAGTCGGGAGTAGTTCCTCAAGAGTAAGAGGCTTAGATGCAGATGCTGCTTCCATGTTTTCGCTGCTCTGCATGGGGGTGGGCATGATCCCCCCTCCCTTATGTTAGCTATATTTAAATTGTTTTGATTTTTGGCCGGTACAACTGAAAGAAGGCATAATAGCATCTTAGTTGTTTAGAATGGGAAGCAGGGCATTTCCAGGAGGCTGCCACATGCTTTGGGAGCACTGCAGAGTGAGGGAGGCAGCCGGGCACTTTCGGCCACTCCAGCTTTGGTAACCCCTCATCCGTGACCCAGCGAGGTGCAAGATTTTCTGTAGAATAGGAGTAGAGTGGGAAGGGGCCCTGAAGGCCATCAAGCCCAACCCCCTGCTGTTGCAGGACACCACGTTACACCACCCCACTCAGGGGGCTGTCCAGTTTCACCTTGAAGGTCTCCAGGGTGGGACAGGCCACCACCCCTCCAGGCAGCTGGTTCCACTGTCGTATTGCTCAGCCAGTGAGGAAGCTCTTCCTGATGTCCAGCCTGAATCTGGGTTGCTGCAACTTGAGCTGATTATTCCGTGTCCTGCACTCTGGTACCAGTGAGAAGAGACCTTGACCTTCCTTTGTGACAGCCTTGGAGGGACTTCTAGAGGGACACCATGTCCCCTCTCAGTCTTGTCTTCTCTTCTCAAGGCTGAACATGCCCAGCTTTCTCAGTCTCGCCCCATAGGGCAGTGTTTCCAAGCCCTGGATCGTTGTTGTGGCCCTCCTCTGCACCCTTCCTGCAACTTTCTTCAGTCTTGGTGCCCAGAACTGGCCACAGGACTCCAGAGGAGGTCTGACTAGTGAGGGGCATAATCAGAAAATTTGCTGTGATGCTTGCTCCAGATGATCTTGCAGAGCAAAAGCACACTGAGAGCCAGTGTGGCGCAGTGGTCAAGAGCATGGGACCGGGACTCAGGCGATCCGGGTTCGAGTCCCCGGTCGGCCACGGAGCCCACTGGGTGACCCTGGGCCAGCCACAGACTCTCAGCCCAACCTACCTCACAGGGGTGTTGTTGTGGGGATAAGATGGAGGAGGAGAAGGCTGTCAGCTGCCTTGAGCCCTTTGTAGGAAAAAGGCAGGATATAAATCCATAAATAATAAATAAAACGGGAGGGCACAGGGTGTTCCACCAGGCTGCGAGTAGAGTGAGGCAAGCTGGGAAGCAGGGCTCCTGCTGGACAGTGGCCTCCATTGTGCTCTTCCTTCACCATCGCCACCATTCCAGCAAAAGGAGAGGAAAAGGGAAGAAGCCCTGCCGAGCGGCCGGTTGCTTGCTTCCCTCCCGCGCCTCCACATCCTTTTCCTCGTGGGTCCTTTGTTAAAAGATGGAACGCCCTTTGGCAGGGACGGCCTTTGTCTCTGCTGAGACGAAAACCACACCAGAAGCCTTTTGGGCTGAGGGGCAGGCATAACCCTGTTCAGCTTATTAAATGAATTAGTAAAGGAGGATAAGGGTGAGGGGGCCTGGGCCTTAAAGACCGCGAACTGGAGAATTATGCCAGAGGAACTGAGTGTGACTAGAGGATTGTACAGAGAGGGGCATGTGATTGCTGTAATGTGGGAATCTGCAGTTACGGCCCCCTCAAGGGTATTTTTCCCCCACAAGTGGCCATTGAGAGACTGCCCCCGGGGGCGGGCAAGTTACATCGTCTTCCTTGCTCTTCCTTCTCCAGACTGGAGCATCTTGCTCGGAGAGTGTTCGCTGCAGACAATCAGCAAGCAGTTGAAGGAGGTGTGTCGAATGTGTGGCATCTCCTCGGCTGACTCTCCCTCCATCCTCAGTGCCTGCTTGGTTGCCATGGAACCCCAGGGCTCCTTCGTGGTGATGCCAGGTAATTATCCACAGCTGTTGGATGACAGTCTGGCCGTGATTTAGCGGCACCGGCAGCTCCTCCTCTGCCCCATCTTTTTCGTTTGGGTCTGTTTTGAGCACGACATGTATTTTTCCTGCTGGATACATCTATGCTGGCAAATCTTGAAATTCCGTGCCATATGTTTGGCTCTGTAAAAAAAGAGGTAGCATGAAGCAGCGGCAGGAGATGAATTGTAAGCTGTCCTGGGACATTTTTTTCATATAGGACGGGGGGAAATATTTCAAATAAAATGAAATAAAATATAAAAGAATAAAATAAAAGAATCTCCTTGCCCACCACTTCTCCCTGCTCCGGTTCTGCAACCCTAGAATATGAAAATAAAACATGAAATCATATCAGCATTTTACTCTGAAGGATGAATAGGGAAATGTCTGTAACACCTGACTGGGTTTGGTAGGAAAGGGTGTCCCCTTGGAGCAATTTCCACCTGCCGTGTCCTCACCAGCCTGGACTGCTGCCATGTCTTTCAGGTCCCCCCGGCGGGACGGCGCATTTTTGTTACAGGGGGACGGGCATTTTTACCCTGCTTCGCAGCCAACAGTGGCTGCTCGGACATCTTCCAAATAGGTGCTTAGCAGGCCCCACCACTGAAAGATCTTTGAAAATGCGTGTGTGGACGGGCCCCAGCTGCGTTGGACTTGCTGTGCGTAAGCCTCTGTACAAGCATTGCATCAAATGGAATCTCCTGTAAAACCGCACCTGGCCTTCGACCGAGCCCTGCGTGGGCCCAGCTTCTCCAAAGGTCTGCAGGAGGTTCTGTCAATGTGAGCAGGGAACGTCTCTGCCGATGGTGCATCTGGCCTTTTCGGGATTTCCCGTTGTGGGACCTCTGTAGTCGTGTTCAGGGAATGCGATTACAGAGCCCTCTTTCGACTCGGAAGCTAGTGAGCATGCGTTCACACCCCCATACCCATTTAGCCCTACATATGAACAGGGCATCAGTTGTAACCTTTTCTAAAACATCTGCAGGCTCTTTGTTTTACAGCTAATTTCTGATTTAAGCATTTCCTACACAAGCCGAAGGACTGGGGCCTAAGGAGCCTCTTTCTCTGCTTAAGAGCACTACATGGGCATAAATGGAAATGAGGCGTGCCCAGAAACACAGACATGTTAGAGTATCTCCCCTAGTTATTTCAAATTTATTAAAAAAGATTTTTCTTGGAGATAAAATCGGTGGGAGATAGGTAAATCCTTGTTTTTCTTTCCTAACCATCCGGGGCTTGTTATGGACCAAAAAAAAAGCGCAGATAAGGCCTTACACAGTGCAACCGTGGTGTGTCCATTAAGTCTGCTGCTCAAGAGTTCAGCTTCCTGCACTGCCTTTCTGTTTTGGAAAAACCATCATTTGCAGTAATAAATAAATCAGTAAACTGCACTTGGTTCCTTGCTCTCCAGACTTGACTTGTAAGCCCACTTCGATCCATCATTTCCAAATCAGGCAGAGAAAGCAAACTGAAGCTGTACTTTGCTGACTTGGATGCGATGGAAAACTATGGCTTGAGCATAGACATCAAAACGATGATTGGAGTGCATGAAAAATGAGTAGAAAAGCTAAATCATGCGCAGACAAGAAAACAAAGGCAAGGGCCAGCTGCGTTTACTATTTCTGGGGAAACCCTGGCTGCACCTCCCCACTCATGCGCAAGGGGTGCTCTTGGGCAGTCCACAGCTAAAATGCCGCCTGCCCCAAACTTCCGATGGCACCTGAACAGCCGCTCTTTGCTTGTCTTGAAAGATGCTGTCACCATGGGGTCCGTGTTTGGCCGCAGCACTGCCCTTAATTTGCAGTCGTCCCAGCTGAATACTCCGCAGGATGCCTCTTGCACGCACATCTTGGTGTTCCCAACCTCCGCAACAATCCAGGTCGCCCCAGCAAACTACCCGAATGAAGATGGGTTCAGCCCCAACAACGGTAAGTCAGCCGCGGTGCCAGAAAGATCCTAGGCTTTCTGCCTTAGCTGCTGCCTCTGCATCTTAAGCATAAGGAGATGAGGACTGTGAGCCTGATCGCGAAAGCTTCTTGCTGTGCGTTGAAGAACAGGGCTCTGGATACGCAGAACTTCCTTTCCTATTCAGGGGCTCTCTCAGCCACCTAAACGTGTGTTTCTAAGCTTAGCAAGTCAAACTGAGCAAGATGCACAAGTGGAACTGAGTCAGTAGACCCTTGTTGTTAGTAGCCTTGACCTGAATGGTACAAGTTTAGGTTGTGGGGACATATGGGACTTGGTACCACCAGGGCTGATCATTTCTTTGCCTCTAGAAAGAAATTAATCCGGCAAATAGGCATGTGAGACTATACTCTCCCCTGTTTTTCCAGGGTCAGTATAAACCTGCTTAAGCTGAGCTAAGATTTGTGGGTTTCGGCCAAGCTTGGAATAGTGTAGCTGGGAGCAGAACACGATGAAATGATTCTGAAGAGGAGTTAATGATATAAACTGGATGGAGTCCCATTGCATCACTAATACAGGCTTTTTCCGAATTCAGATTGCAAACATATTTCAAATGCAGTTTTTAAGCATATATTCAAAACACCACTTTTTCTAATCCGTATTTTTAAAAATTGGGTTTTGATTAAAAGTAGTAATACTCCTACTCTGTTTTTTCTGCAAGGTACATGAGTACTATATCATTTTAGCCTCATAGTTACCCTAATAGCGGGCATAAGATCGCCCAGTGAATTCTCAGATGGGCAGAGATGTCAATCAAAGCCTCCTGAATCCTCAGAATCTTGGCACTCTTAAATACCACAGCACCATTTCTGTCCTCATTCGATCTCCAGCAGAAGAAATAGAACTAGAAAAGGTCCACCAGAGAATGACAACGGCGTTATCTGGAGTTGAGCGAACTTTCTATTCAGGGGGAAAAAATCTAATGAATCTATGCAGAAGTACACCCTCTTTGTATGGATGTTGTGGAATGGTCAGAATCCATTAGTAACATAATTACAGTTAACTTCCTAAACAAACTCATCAGTTAAATGCCTAAATAAACTAGCTGATTACACAATTTTTTTCTTTGGTGCATTTCTAAACTAATGTATTGGGAGGAAGCCAAATGAATCTTTATTTTGCAAAAACACAAGTCACGATATCGAGGAAGGCTCCCCTCTTTTCTTTTTCATTAAAGATCGTGGCTTTGATCTGCTGCTGGAATTTAGTGGGCCTCACGAGGGGATGCCTCCCCTCCATACAGAACATGCCGCTGTCCTTTCACGGCCGTTGAATCCCGCCTGAACACAATGCTTACAAATATTTAACCTATATTAACCTGGCCTTTAGGGCTTCACATACTAATTGGAGCCATGTCCAAAGGCTAGTGTTTTCCAAAAGGGTGTTAGATTTAATTTTCTCAACTCTTGTTCTATGTTTAATAATTACAAAGCCTCTGAAGCTATTAGCCTTCCTATTTGTGCCTCGGAGGCTCTGTGGAACATGGCACATCAGTTTTTGTTTGTTCTGCAAGCATGTAGGAAGGAAGCTTAATAACCTAGGTTAAATCACTTGTAGCTGCCTTTGGAAGAAGATGAAGAAAGACAGACTTCCAAAGGGGAAAGGAATGCTTTAGAAAGGTGGCAGTGAAGAGAGCAGCCCAAAATCCTTTGTCCCCTGGGTCCCTGCTGCAAAACAACAAGAAGCTAATTTTTGGCTGCAAGTGTTTGTTTGCTGCAGAAAGAAGCCAGATTCTTGATCTCCACCCTCCCTTGCCCTGAGTTTCAATCAAATCACGTGCTGCGGTCTTTATGAGCTGTTGCACTTAGTGATTTGGATAGATCAGGCATAAAGCTTCCAAGAAACAGTTACCTTTTAGGGTATGCTTTTTGACAGAGCTGAGCTGAAACGAGGTGGTGTGTGTGGGGGTTAAGCCCCTCTCTCTGCTTCCAAAGGGCCCGTGAATTTTAGCTGCCTCGACCAGGATTGCCAGCAATCCCCGAGTTAAAAAGAAGAAGGTCAAGGGCCTGGCAGCACACTGAGTTCCAGAGACGGTGTCACCGGGTTTCCCAAGTGCTGCCCTGCTTCCCCACAGCAATTCTGAAGGAAGTGCAAGGAGGAACAAACGTGGCCGGCCATTCGGAGAGCAATGCTCTGTGCCTTCTCTCTGGCTTGGTTCCGCGGCATCAGTGTGCTGGCTGCATGTTCCCCAGAGGGCTGGGAATGTGGAGAAACTTTAGGGCCACAGAAGGAACACCTGTGGCTCTCATTCGAGCTAGTCAGTTGCTAACGACTTTCCAAAGGTAGTATTCGTCATGGAGGGATCAGTGTGTAGAAGCATACTTTGCTTCCTTGTTAAATGATGTTGCTGTCATATTTTTTATTAGGCCAAACATAAGGTAGGAGTGTGCGTGTGCGTGTGCGTGTGCGCGCGAGAGAGAGAGAGAGAGAGAGAGAGAGAGAGAATCTTTTGTTTGACCTAATGTGGATAGCACAGCAAACTGGGTCTTGGAAATGTTTTAATGAGCATGTCTACCTTTGCTTTTCATGTTAAATTAGTAACTCTTGACCATCTGAAGAAATTAGGTAATGAGAAGTTCTGCTTCAAGTGGCCGAGCAATAAAACTGTGTTTATACCCAGCAAAAGCCTTGCATGCTCCTGCCCACACAGCTTTATTCCCTCACACAAATTTAAAAAACAAACACTCTTGTGAGACATGTGAAGTGCTGCACCATTTCTGTATCACTAAAACCAAGAGCTATCACAAAAGCCTTCTGGTTTAGAAAAGCCAGGATTTTATTCTTGGTGTTTCCAACTTTGTACATTTAGTTTAAGGTGCTTAGTTGGGTTCTTTTGAGGTACGATATTTTCAAACCTTTCCCTAAGAAATGCAATTTAAATAAATGCAATTAAACCTAAAAAGTCTACCTTCCCAACTGCAGAAGCTACCCTGTTTTCTTCCATTTTTTGTGAGTGCAGCAGTACGGCAGGGAAAGTAGGTGATCAGCAAGCCCTTGTGGGGAGGGCAGAAGGAAGAGGGGTGAGCTTGGCCATTGCTCTGTGGTTGCTGCTTGAGGCATCCTTTGAAAAGGCCTGTAAAACCAACTGCTTTGATTTCTAGGCAACTCAGTTTGGAATCAGATGCCGTTTGGAGACAAGACTGTCCAAAGCAATTTCAGGGCTTTTGAAGCTTTGCATGCAGAGGTTACAATTTTGCAATGCCTACCCTGGAGTAAATCAGTTATTGGCACATGTCTCCTTAGCTGTCAGGTTAGAAATTAGAGTGTAATTTATGTTGAACAGGCTCTTTGAGGTAGTTCTGTGCCTCACCCAGCAGCTTCTCTGCAGATGCCTGGGGCCGTCCCAGCTCCTTTCAGCCAGGGTACAACTGCCCATATTTCACCACATCCCCTGTGTTTCAGAGGTTAAAACTGCAATATTGCCAGATAGGATCCAGGCTGCCACTGTGCAAGTAACGGTGTTACATATTATTTAATGTTCTGTGTCTGTGTCTGTCGATACAGCCTTTGTTATTCCGTGCAATTGATGACAGGAGAGCTGCTCGATAGAATGCAGAGAGCAACTTGAAGCCTTTTTTTCCAGTTGGCCTAACTCCATCCCATTTATCAGGGCGGCTTCCAATCCACATGGTCCAACAAAATTCATCAAAACCTGCAGAGCTGTGGTCTCTCCCCTGGAAGCCTTTTCCTGATGTGAGAGCAAGCAGCCAGGGAGCACTGCGGAGAGCATCTTAATGATGCAGCCCGTCAGCAGGCGCTTGGTTTACTCTTAGCCCGTGCTCACAGGGCACAGCACCCTGGCCCTGCAGTCCAGCTGGCAAGCTCGTTTCCCTCTCAGTTCCAAGGTGATGCAAGAGCCACCACACTAGCTTGCTGCAGTTCCCGTCCCTCAAGCTATGCTTGAAGACTGAGAAAAAATCCTTACCCAGTCCCAGTCAGGGGAGAGCGAAAGAGTGGCCCACATTCCTTTATACTGCTCTTTTAGCAGGATACAGGAAAAAGTTTCACTGAATCGGTTTAGCTTAATTCGCCAGGACATCCAGAAGCCTTTCCCCTTCATTTGCTTCTTTCTGATGTAACACCTGACATTGCTCAATTTCATGCAGCAGCAATTAAAATATGCCAGGCTGCAAATGAACTTCTGTTTGTTCACTCCATTATTTGTGTGTTGATTAAGAATTGTTTTGCTTTCTGAGTCATATGGCTTTCTGAATGATGGTCAATTGACGTATTCTCTGAGGGAAAAAGAGAATTTGCAGCTTGGGCCTCCTGACATTAAACATTGTAGGCCCACCTTTGGCCACAAGCAGGTGTGTTTTGTCTATTATTCAATATGGCAATCCTGCTTACTGTGCTGATGGGTGGGAATATTCCTGTAAGTGTTTCTCCTGGGACAGGAGATGAGCCAGTATCATCCTCTTATGTTTTCAAGATTGCAATGATCTGTATCCCTTTCTGATCTTTTCTTTTGCTCTTCCTTCTTGAGATGACATGTTTGACCTTCCATTCCCGGATGACATGGACAACGACATTGGAATTCTAATGACTGGGAATCTTCACTCATCTCCAAACTCCTCTCCTGTCCCTTCCCCCAGCTCCCCTTCTGGGATTGGAGTGGGACCATCTTTCCAGCATAGTCGGGTAGGTAGCGTGGCTTCTGTACCACCCTCGTGCAAATGTGTTTGGCACGCTGAAAATGCCATTCCTATGTTTTCTGGCCTCATCTCCATATTCGGTGCCGAGGAGCTTGCTTTACAACGGTCTTCACCAAACTGGTACCTTAAAGAAGTGTTGCATCATCGCCTGTGCGGCTAACAGGAAGTTGTGGTCAAAGTTGCTTTCTGGAGATATGTTGTATATCACCAAGGCCAGCCGTGCTTCTGGCTGTTGATCACAGGGGTTCGGTTACCGAAATACCTTTGGTATCAGAGAAGCACTTTAAGGACTTTGTTTTGGAAATGGAATAGAATTCAGTCCCACAGAAGTGCTACTGTTAAGGGGAGAGATTTTTCTGCTTATAATAAAACTACACTTTGGAACACTCGCTCTCCAGGTGCTGGAAATGTTATGTAGATTTTGTTTTCTTAGCCCAGGGTGCTTGCAGCTCAGCAGTTAGTTTTACTTAAAGTGGCTTTTAAGAAGCCAGTTCCAGCCTAAAAGCTTATTTAAAATGTAAATTAATTGTGTTTATTCCTGAAGTGAAAGGTGCTCTTTTTAGGTTAAAAGCTTAGCATAATGTTGAAGTGTTTAGCAGAGCCCCCCCCCGCCCCCGCTTGCATTATCCTTGCTGCTCGACATTTCATGGGCTTCTTATTTACATCCATCGTGTTTTTCTTGGAAAATGCACAGAATCTGCAGGTAGTGTGTTTTTAACAGGATGGCAGGAACAGGACTTGTAAAAACACTCTTTCAAAAAGAGCATTTTGCTTCATCTTTCCCAAACAAATTGTGTGTTATAATGGGTCATGTCAGGCTGGAATTCGGGAGCCCAGATTCTAGTCCCTGCTTGCCATGAAGCCCAGTGGGTGGCTTGGGGCAGTCACTGACTCTCTGCCAGGCCTACTTCACAAGATTGTTGCAAGGCTAAAATGGCGAGGGGGGGGGATTATGTAAGATGCTTTGGGTTCCTGGCAGGAGGCAAAAATCAGAGTAAATAAAGCTAATAGAAAAGTTCAGACATGGCTTTTTCTGACTATTAGCATATCTGTTCCCAAGTATCTGTTTTCTTCTTCTCACTTAAGACAACATGACTTTCCTTTTTAGAATCTTGAAAGTTATGGATGAACTTGAGTGGCAGCTCCTGCCCCATGGTGCAAACTTTCCACTTTACCTGGGTGCCTTTTATCTCAGCTGCTCTATTCAAGGTGGCTGGTAGATTTCCTTTTAGGGAGCAAGTGCAAACCTGTGAAGGGTATTGCAGGTGATGCCAAATGTGAAAATGGGAGGCTGCTGGTGCTAATTCGGTTGTTCTCCAGAGGGGGGGTGCTTGCCCGTTGCTGCCATTCACATCTCTTCTGGGGTATCCCTTGCTTCTGCATCCCTTGTTAACTGGCCTGTTTCTTGCCATCCCCGGACAACAGAGGCTTCCCCCTTCTGTCCTCAGCCCCTGAAGCCACTAGGCAAGCATCCCAAGTTTTCTGAGGACCGTCCTCACCACTGCACAGCAATTCTGCAGGCCTTCAATTTCTGCTGTAATGAGATGAGTGATCAGGGAGTTCAGAAACCCAGGAGGGGCCTCTCTTAGCTGAATGCCTTTTGGAGCAACTAGTTTAACCATTAACTGGAGTCTGGTAATTGAGGTGTAAATTTTGTCCTTACAAAAGCAGCAGCGTGTGAGCATTTCCCCCTGGGGTCAAGGGAGGGCACCCCTTCATCCATGGACCTTGTAATTGATTGCTGCAGTGGGTGAGCCGTGAGCCATGCCGCTTCCCTTGCCAGCTATTGAATTTTGAGCCCAGCGAGCTTTGATGCGGTGTGGACCGGCCAGCCCTGATTACTGGATGAATAAAGGAATTCCGCTTTAGCAGGGTACCCTGAAGAAATTGGTCCCTAAGATTTTTTTTCTTTTCTTTTTTTGCAGTGATTAAACTGCTAACCTTCTCTTACGCAGTTATAAAATTTAAAGTACACGCTGCTTTGTGAAGCTGATTCAATTAATGACATCAGGATAAGTAACACAAACACTTAGCAGCACCTACTACAGAAGTGAAGTGGGCTGGATCCTCAGCAGAAGTACTTTTGGTTCTGGTCAGAGAAACCTGAGTTTTCTTAAGTCTTCAGGGTGACAAAAGATGCCTTGATTTGTTTTGCACATTTTGATCCGCTTTCTGAAGAATTTCATGAGTACTAAAAATTGGGCCTGTCATCTGGAAATCTCTGTGGGCAGAGCATCCTCTCAGCTTTTAGCCAACCGGACTTCTGCAGGAACAACTCCATGGCCAAACTGCAGGCTTTTTTTGTTTGTAGAACAATGTGTGAATGTATGAATATACAGGTCAAAGAACAAATGAGCTGGTCAGACCAAAAGAAGTCCAGCATCCAGTCCCCGCAGCGGTCAGCAGATGTATGTGGGGGGCCCATTAGCAGTGCGTGAAATGCAGTAGCTTCTCCCTGCTGTTTTCCAGCTGTGAACTCCAGGGGGCGCCAGCCATATAAGCGCCACCCTCCATGAATTTGCCCAGTCCTTTTGTGACGCTGTTCAAGTTGGAGGCCATCACGACATCCAATGGCAGCGTCCAATTGGATGGCAGCATCGAACGGGAACATCCGCTTCCCGTTGCTTAGTATGTACCCTGTGAAGCAGCGCTGCCTTTTCTCCCCCAGTTAGCCTGACTGGGAGCCTCAATGACAGGGGGGAAGATAATGCGTCCAATATGGTTGGCTGGGTGGAAAAGCCAGTGTGGCATAGTGGCCAGGGAGCCAGGGGACCCAGGGTCTAGCCCCCACTTGCTGGGTGACGGTGGGCCAGTCACTGGCTTGCAGCCTGACCTACCTCACAGGGTTGTTGTGAGGATAAAATGGAGAGCACGATAAAGTTCGCTACTCTGGGGTCCTTGCAGGAAAAGCTGGGATACACATTTAATAAAGGGATAAGTATATGTAAGACTGAAATGCTGGAGCGAAACAGAATTTAAATATGCACAAACACTTTTAGCAACTCTGTTGACACCTGTGATACTCAAAGAAGCCGCTGCTCTTCACATGGTTTTGTGGTCATTGAGTGAATGAGAAGTGGTCAAGGGAAGGCCCGGATGGGCAAGCGCGCCACGCTGGGATCTGCAAGGGAAGGGGGTTCCCAGCCAAAAGCCAAGCCACGCTGCCTTCGTTGTGCCGTGTATATGCTAGCCGGCTTGCTTTGATGCCGAGCTGGATTTTACCTCCCTCCTCTTGTTTTTCCAGAGCCAAGGAGAGCGTCTTCTCTCCCGGGAAGCACCTGAAGAACTGAAGCAGCAGCCTCTTGCCCTGGGGTACTTTGTCTCTACTGCCAAAGCCGAGAACCTTCCCCAGTGGTTCTGGTCGTCCTGTCCGCAGGCCCAGAACCAGTGTCCCCTCTTTCTCAAGGTAGGTGGAGCATCTTGGACCTGGCAGAGGATGGGAAGCCCTATATGGTGGAACCTGCCCAGGGAATACCCCCGTGCCTGTTATTTCTAATACCACGCTTTCTAGCAGCTTGTATAAAACCTGCTCCTCCAGACTGCTTGGCCCTTCTGGCTTAGCCAAAGAGGAGAGATGACTGGCACTGTAGACCTAAATTTCTGGAGTGCCTCGTGCGCCATCCCAGTGCCCCTTCTTGCTTGTCTAAGACCATACCCCAAGCAGGAAAGGAAAGGCAGCTCAGCAGTCATTCTCTGCACACCGTTGCAGAAATGTATCCATGCTTTTCACACAGAGAGCCCACTCCCAGTCTCTGGCTGCTCCAGTGAAAGGGGATTCCAGGTAGCAGGGCTGAGGAAGCACCTCCACCTGGCCCTGACGTCAGTTCAAATTTGAGCAAGCGAAACACGCATCAGGATGAGTCAGTATAAGGCGCCTGATTACAGTTGTAGGTCCCATCATTTAGGTCCACTTGAACCCTGGGTTTGGCACTGCAGTGGCTTTGGTTGCCAGCACAACAATGGAACCCATGAGCTGGGGAGGTGGTGAGCTCCCCCACACTGGAGGCATTCAGGATGCAGCCTGAGGGCCCTCTGAGAGAGATGGTTCAGCTGGGAGTCCTGCCCTGAGCAAGAGATTGGACTCAACGGCCTTGTTGAGCCCCTTCCAGCTTTGCTCTTCTGTGAGTCTGGGATTCTAGCCTATTGCTGGTGAAGAACAGAGAGGCAGAAGGTGTGGCAGGAACGCTCTGGGAATTCTGTTCCTGGGAGCTCTTTCCAGAAGCTGGTCAGGGGACAAGAGTGGCTTTAGTCCCTTGATGGCCCTAAATGGTCGGAGGCTGAAGCTCTGTCTTCTGCTCCCTGAATTGTAGGATCTTCCTTCTGAAATGCGGGGTGTGGTGTTCAAAGCAAGGCAGGGCCTCTTCTGTGCTACTTGAGCTGTCGCATCTTATCCCGATGAAGTCTCATCTGGTTTTGTGACATCAGCTGAAAATATACTGGGCCATTCCCTTAATGTACAGTAAATCCTTCTAAACTGTTTTTATGTTGGCCTTTTATTTCTTTTAAATCTGACTGCACCCAGACCTATTTTAAAGGGGGTGTTGCTGTTAAAATATGCAACCTGCCCATGAGCAGAAAGATGCCTTTTCTTCTTCCCGAAAAAAGACCTCCTTCCAGTCCCCCAGGCCGCTCTTGGTTTGGCTGTGTGCTTTGAGGGCGGCTGTTTGCTTGGTCCTGTGATCCTAAAGCGTGTCCTTCTCCAAACAGGCTTCACTGCATCATCACATCTCTGTTGCGCAGACGGATGAGCTGCTCCCCGCTCGGAACTCGCAGAGGGTTCCCCACCCCTTGGACTCGAAAACCACGTCTGACGTCCTGAGGTGACTGATCCCCAAGTTTTGCATTTCCATGTTTTCTCCTTCGGTGGCGTGTCTTTGGTCAGGCTCCTGCTCTTGGACGTTTCTGCTCAGTCTGGGGGACGTGGCATCCTCATTCTGCAGGCCTTTGCAGGGGTGCAGGGATCCCATTCTTCCGCTTTTGTAAAAATCCTGACCCACATATTGCTGCAGGATTCCCTGTCCCAGCCACCCGGAAGACCCGTTTTCTCCACCCTCTCATGAAATCTCCTCTCCCCTTTCTTGGCCTGAGCCATGGTGGTTTACCATTTATTTTAAAGAGTCTTTAGAAGCCTCTGTTAATGGCCTCGAGGTGTATTTGCAAGCTCAGGTCTTACCATACACCCGAGTCCTGCCTTGGAGAAAGTAAGTACCTTTTAGCTGCTGCCTGACTTGAGGATGTGACTCTGTCTACCAAAAGCACTCAGAGAAACTTCTGTAAACTGTGGGTGACACGAGAAGATAAACGTCTCTTTGGATGCTTAGGATGCTTTAGCCTGCATGCTGCAGCCCCTTTTAATTGCTTTTATAGATGTTTACTTCATTATGTTTTAATTGGTTTTAATGCATTTTACTCTGTTAATATGCTTTATGCATTTTATGCCTAGGAAGGCCTCAGCAGTTCTAGGCAGCCTATAAACACATGCAAATAAGAAATAAATAATGAAACAAATAAACAATAAATAATAAATAAAGCACAGATTAGGAGGGTGGCTACCTAGAGAAGGGTCTTCTCTGCAGTGGCACCCCAATTGTGGAATTAGTTCCCCAGAGAGGGTTGCCTGGCACCCTCACTTTATTCTTTTCGGCGCCAGGCCAAAGCCATTTTATTTTCCCAATGTTTTAAGACCTGGCTGTTTTAACTGGGGTGTTATTGTTAGTGGAATTAGGACGCTGTGTTTTACATTTTTTACATTTTGTATTGTTAAACCATCCCGAGACTTGGTTATGAGACGGTCCAGAAAAGTTTGAAAGAAAGAAAGAACGCACGCACAGATTGTGGGATGGAACGGGAGGCTCATTCTAGCCAGCATGACCTGAGTTGCTGAAGTGACGCTCATATTTCCTCTCTCGCGCTGTCTCCTCCTCTCCTCCAGGTTTGTTCTGGAACAGTACAACGCACTGTCCTGGCTCACATGCAATCCCGCAACGCAGGACCGCAGCTCATGCCTTCCTGTGCACTTTGTGGTGCTCACGCAGCTGTACAACGCCATCATGAACTTCCTCTAACAGCGCAGAGGCGCCTGGCCGACCTTCCCCCACCGCACGAGAGATGCGCCGTGGCCTGCGCGAGTTCAGCTTCCTCCTCCCCGGCCAGCCACTGGGGGCCCCGTGGCGCTTGGTCCCCTGCAGAATCCTGGGACGCCACATCAGTGTTCGAAGTCGACCAGGTCGAGCACGCCAGCACTTCCGTCAGCTGTCACGGATTGCCGACAGTGGATATCATAAAACCTCCAGGCAGTTTTCATTTCATAGCTGGGCGCTAAGGAGCAATGGACCATAAGGAAGACAGTGTCTTCGTGCTCGTGTGTCCTCCTTTTGCTCGAGGGGGGAGTCCCATTCTTCGAAGCAAAACATTGCAGTGACCAGTTAAGAGTGCCCAAAGCTCACGATGTTCCTTCAAAACCATGAGATGGACTTGGCTGCGATTCTAGTAGTTTATAAATAGTGGGATTTTCTCTCTACCTGGAATTCCTGTCAGAGTGGATTGGGATGGATGCATGCATGCGTTACCTGTCCATGTAGATGAAAGATCTGGAGAGACACTTAAGTTTGTTTGTTTGTTTGTTGTTTTGCTTTTAATTTATTTATAGGGGCTATTTATAGGGGCCAGAGAGGACCAGGTACATCCAGCTCCATTCCGCTGAGAACTATTTATCAACATACCTCTCGCTCTTCTGACCGAGAAATGGAGCAAAAACCATGAAAAATCCAAATAGCAGTTAACAAGAGCAAGTGAGGAAGAATCACCATTTTTTTGGTGGACACCTTGGGTTAAGGAACTCTGTTTGTAGTGAGGTTGAAATATGTAAATGAATGATGACACGGTGCCAATACCCGAGACCCATAGGGGGCTGTCAACACTTTAGAGTCTAACAAAGGAGAAATACTGATTTAGAGAGGAGTTTGACAAATATGGAAATTATTCCTGAAGCCCAAGTCACCCAAAAGCAGGATAGCTCAGTGCTCTAAACATCAAAACACTGTATATCTACTTTCTTGTTTACACTTTTGTCATTTTCAAGTCTGGTGTATTTTTTCTGACTACAGGAAGAAATGCTTTTTCAAAGAAATGACTTTTAAAACTGATCTCGTTAAATTAGTACTTGAAAGTTTTGAAAAAAAACAAGCAAAAAAACACTGAGGTCAAAAATGGCCTGGTTTAATTAAAACGTTGGCCATTTAAACAAAACAAAGTTTAAAGGAAATTGTATTATTTTTATGCCTCCTTAATTCTAGGATTTAAGAGATCTATAGTGTAAATGCCGTGCCTGATACCGTTGCTTTGTGCAGGCATGGGCTACGTCTAAGAAGAGGAATCAATTAGAGGGGGATTGGTCAGCTGGCCATCCTTGGAGAATCCTTTACCATTTTTGAAGTTCTTCCAAAAGTCTGTCTCGTTCTGGTTAAAAAAAATAATAATTAGAATTTCTATGAATTTAAAGGAATATTTTTCTTGAAATGATGATGTAATGTTTAAATCAAATTTATTATTTAAAAAAATTCCATGCACAAGGGGGATGGATTGGTCAGAGGAAGACCCTGTAAATGGATCACTTTTATTCTCTGCTCCAGGCCACCCACCTGGGGGAACCTTTGCAATGTACAGGAGGAAATCAGATATATCGAAACCATTTGTATCTAATGTATACAGTGTAAAATTGATTTTAAAAATATTGCATTACTATTTTTTCTTAATCAGAAAGGAAAATTCTCAAGGCCTTTTGAAGAGCATTAAAAGATGAAGATTGTAAACTTGTATACAAAAAAAATTAACTTGGTGAGGGAAAACTATATAAAGTTATCTTTTACCACTTTGGGGTTATTTGTTCCCAAGAGTCACCTGAACTTTGGATTATAGCTGCGTTGGCTTTTTTTTATGGGCTGTTTCTATTGGGGTTATTTTCTTCCCCAGAGATCTAGTTCTAATGCAAAAATTAAAAATACCTCTAACCCCACAAATAAGGGGAGGGGTATTAAGGAGTAGTTTTCATCTGGTGGTGTTTATTTAATTTTTTTTAAGTTAAGAGAAACTGGTAACATATTTATACATTTTTTGTGCAAAATAAATGAATGGCAATAGATTTTAAAAAGAAGAAAAATCTTATGTACTTCAGTGTGAAAATCTGTATAATATTTCCCTTTAAATATGCATTATTTTACTTGTGAGTTTTTTACTGAATTAATCTGAAATGTACAAGCCCTGGATTTCCTACAGAGTGAAAAAGTTATTTTATTTTTTTTAATTTCTAATTTTGGAAATCACACAGAAATCAGAATTATTGCCGTTCAAGCGCGGGGGGGAGGGAGGCAAGGGATGGTCCGGCATGCTTCTCTGTATATTTCAGAACCTTTTTTTAAATGTAAAAGCTGTACATTTTTGGGGGGAATTCTGATTTTTTTCCTTGAACATTTTGCAGTGAGCCTCTTTTATAGCCAACAATTTGAAACAAAAACAACAAAAAACCTATGTGGAGTTCATTTTAAATCTTACAGTATATCGCTGGTACAATACACTAAAAAAGACTTTGATAAAAAGAAACAATAATAATAAAGACCTCCATTTTAAATGTCATTCATATATACCTTGTGGATGAGAGCTATATACTTTTACACACTTTTTTAGATGAATAAATTATTGAATTACTGAAATGTGTGTGGATTTTGCAGCTCAATTCTCTTCTTGGGTGATTTGCCAGCTGCTCGTAAGCCCAGCTAGTGCGTGTACAGAAAGGGAAGGATGCAGACAGAACTCCAGGACTGCATTCTTCCCACTGGGACATCCTGTGAGATCTTTTCAGTGTGGACCATTAACTGGAATTTATCCAGCCGAATAAATGCCCGGACAAGAACAAGGTAAAGACACTGAGCAGGTTCTGTGAGATATTACAGATAGAACTGGGCCCTAAATTGGCTATATCCTATTACAGTGTCTTGAAAATAGGAGAATTCTGCCCTGGGAACATGTGGAGCCAGCAGTAATGAGCAGGGGATTTTGGAAATCCCTCTTGCTTGAACACCCGGCCAAGCATCTGCTGCCTTCTGCTATTGTAGCCCAACCCCTCCATCCAATGTTACACTAGCAGTAAAACTGCAAGAACCGGAGTTGTTCTTGTAAGAATTGTACGACAGAACAAGTCAAAGTCATAAAACCATGTGTGCCAGCCCGCCCCTTAAGAACTGGGGCAGACGCCCTTCTCCGGAGGCCCTCCCTGAAGGAGATTAGGAGGGTGGCTACCAGGGAAGGGCCTTCTCTGTGGTGGCACCCCAATTGTGGAATGTGCTCCCAAGAGAGGTGTGCCTGGCGCCATCACTTTACTCTTTTCGGCACCACGCAAAACCCTTTTTATTTTCCCAATGTTTTAAGACCTGTGTTTTAATTGGTGTTTTATTATTAGCTAAATTTTAGGATGCTGTGTTTTAATTTTTTTTCTTACATTTTGGATTGTTAAACCATTCCGAGACTTCGGTAATGGGACATCCTACAAAAGTTTAAAAAGAAAAGAGCTAGCAGAATGACGTTATAGGATACAACCCAATGAGTTAGTCCTAACCAAGCTGCCTTTGGCAATCCCCCTCCCTTTGCAAAGAAAGGGGGAACCTCCACATGGGCTTCTTGACGACTCTGCTAGGTTGTGTGGAATCTGCTTGTTGGCCCAATTCATCCGAGTCCTGTGTGACTTTCTAAGAAACGGGCACTACCCGGCACGTTTTAGGCATGACCGGCGTTCACAGCACCATGTCAAGCATACCTGGCAGCCTCCAAGAATCCTGACCTTGTTTTCTTTACTGTACACTTTTCTGTCCAGCTGTGAGGCACCAATTAAACAATTCAAGCACACCATTCAAAAGCCAAACTATAAAATCCAAATCTAAAAACAATGAAGTAATCTTGCGGCAAAGTGAGCAAAGTTAAAATAGCATTAAAAAACCCTTAAATGATTTCAGTTTGTAGAACAGAGCAAGTGAAGTGTTCCTTGACGTTCAACCACTGTGAAAGCTTCCAGGATAATGTTCCCATCCAGCGAGCAACAGAATCCATGAACGACAAAGCAAGATGAACTTGCCAGTAGGGACTGAAGGTAAGTGACGCAGGTGCACGGCAATGTCTAACAGCACCTCTCCTCACACGCCCGTGGCATCAGCTCACCTGTCGTTTCCCAGCTTCTGAACTACAATTGGTTCCTGGTCCTTTGTTTCTTGGGAAGGGTAAATGCCACTCACACCGAACAGGTGTGTGTTCCTAGCTCAGTCCTGCACAATTACTCTGTGATATAGATGGTCTAATTTCACCCTGGATGTAAATTGCCCACTGTCTCTTTTTTAACCAGAGACGGGAGAGTTTGGGGAGTACCAAAAAATAATGTCCTTTGCCTCTTTACCATCCTTCCAAATACCACCTCGGAAGTTTTCCATTCGCCGTAATGGAGAATAATAAGCTCAGCAGAGGAGGGAACAAAACCTTTTTGCCTCATCCAAATCTTCCTCAGCAGCTTTTGTTATAGGTGCACATGTGTAGTGTGACTACTACATGTATCTGTAGCTTGTTTTTTGGCCCCTGAAACATATTTTTTAAATCACTGGTCATCAGAATGAAGACAGAATTCTATTTCAATTTTTTAAAAATAGAAAACAGGCTTTTTAATTGCTGCAGTGATTTGACTTAAAAATAATGTTTATTTCTCCTGCAGCCAGCCTCTGTCCTGTCACTGCTCATTTCAAGCCTCGCAATGCAGCCTGCTTTGACCTGCACGCAACTTTTCTGGTTTTCATTATCATGCAGAAATAAACATTAGTTTTATGTCAAATCACTTGCTCTTTTCACTGAAAGTAGAAACACCCTGGACGTGCCCAAACAGGAAGACTTTGCTCCACAGCGACAGCTTTATTGTTTCCAGCGTTAACACAAGGATAGAGCTACCTATTTCCTTGTGTTTGAAATCTGATCTTATCATGTTGGCAAATGTTTTCAAGGGGCCAGACTGTTCACGGCCGCAGGCCATGGACCTTTGCCACTGTGATAGCATCAAAGAAACAGCCGTGAGTGCAACGGGGACCCAGGTGACGCTTAGCATGTCACGGTAAAACACACAGGGGAAGTAAAGGCACCACTCTGGGAGGCCACAGCTGGAAGTGGAGAACGTCTCCTGGGTCAGCTGCACTGGCAGAAATGGACTTCCCACCCTTCCTTCTGACAGCAGGCACCCCGAATAGGTCACAGGTCCTGTTTCATGGGATGAACTCCCGAGATGGGGAATGGCTGCCTATAACTTGGGCAAGGGGACTTTCTATGAATATAACCCTTCCTCTTGAGAATGGCAGATCCTGGACCCAACCCGCATTCCACTGGTAAATTTCTGTCCGTAGCTCTTAACCCACATTGCTCCTGGGGAAGGCCTTAGCAGTGGCATTTCAATCTAAGACTTGGAGGGGAGACCCCACTAAAGTTGGGAAACCACTGGACTATAGGTAGTTGGAGACATGGCCAGCACGGACAACTCTGGAGAGCCAGAATGAGGCCCCAAGCAGGCTGGATGGACCGCTGGTGCTGCAATTCTGCTCTCCGGCTTCCACAGCTTCCTTAGCAACACTTGCGCACCTTGCAGTGACCTCTTCAACTTGGTTTTACCTTTCTTGACCTATATGCACCTTCTAGCTGAACATCTCTTCTTGTGGTATTAAGCAACCCCCAAGCATTTTGGAGAGATCCAGCCCTCTTGACTCTCTCTCTCAACCTCTCCTTTTCGCCAGCTCCTTGATTTATTGTAGTTTCCTCTTTGGAAGTGAAATATGACTATCTTGAATGTGCTTTGCAATGCAGTGACACTACGGTCAGTTTCCAACTGGTTCAGCAACACACGCACCTGACTGGATTGCACCGCTTATGAAATCTCCTCCTTTCTGGTTGGTTCCATGACTAGAGAGGTTGTGGTTCTTTAGGGGACTGAGAACCTTAACCACTTTGACATGACTGATATTTTCATTCATCCAGTCAATCTTGGGAAACAAATTTTCCCTCTGTTTACAACTTCCTCCTCTGAATTCTTCCCCGATTTCATTCTCTCTCTCAGATCACCCAGAGCAGAAGCAGTAGCAATGCTTTTAGGTGTTGAGGTGTTCAACTGATGCCCAGGAAAACGGAGCTGAAGCCAGCCCTGCCACCCACAGAAATCCCCCAGAGATATTTGCCCCCTTTAAGGTTTCTGCTTTGTTTTATGTTACGTTCTCTTTGACAGACAGAGAAAGCCCAGCTTTGGGGTCCTACCTACCCTAAACTCAGCTTCCAAAACCTCACGACCACTTTTCCCCACATCAGGGCAACCGGCATGCACCGTGACCCCTAATTCAACCCCAGCACTCACTGCGAAAATGTCTAGATGATGCGCGGTATGTGCAACACCAGGCAGGCTACTTGTCATGCAAGCCTCACGCCCGTCGCCAATGCAGCTGTTGATGCCTTGAATGCCTGCACATCCCGTCACCAGGAGCTCCCCAGAGACCTCCGCGGCCCGAGAGGAATCGGTTTCCGCTTTTCTGTGCTCCGCGATGTCGCCTGCTGCGAACCTAACTTGCTTTCTGCGCTGCTCTAGACTCACAATCACCATCACCCCAGCCCAGCTTTTGCAGGCCCGCTCCCTCTGTGTTCCCACTCATGATACCGGCTACTGGGGGAAGGGACAGGGGAATGGAAAACTGGGGAGAAGGGCACCCCAGGAAAAGGCATAGGTCACCGGTTCCAAGTGCAGCTCTCTAAGCGTCGACTCTGCATGTGCATGTGCGTGTGCGTGGGTGTCCACGTCCGTCCCCGTCCATGCCCAGCAAGGATACTGCATCACACCTGTCCCTCTGAACTGTAGGCCATGCTCCTTATGAGGGCCACAGAGGTTTCCCGCAGGCCCTGCCCGGGCTGGCCCAGCGGCTCTGTGAGCATCGCTCGGTGGCGCTTGGAGGTGCTGTTCCTCCAACCCCACTTCCCTCCACGGAGAGGAGTCAAACGGGCAGGACCTGCGTGATGTTGACAGAGCCCGGTGTGCTGTAGACAGGTATCCTGCGTGTTTTGCTCGTCCTGCCGCCGCGCGGTCAGATGCACGGCTTTTCTCTTTAAATAATTATTTCTAACCTCACTTCGCTGCCTATCCCATTATTCAAAGAATGTACTTAGTAAACCCCTTCTTTTTTTGGCCATGCCGTTTCCTTTGCAGGGATTCACAAGCGGCTACCGTGCAGAGGCAGGTGAGGGTGGGCACACTCAGAGTGCCTCGGTTCTCAGCCTGTGTTCTCAACCCATCAAAAACTCAAACGTCAACTTGGATGCAGCTCTTTCAAAAATGATAGTAAGCAAGGGGATTCCTTTGGCCATCAGAGTGCTTTATCTTAATCCGATGGGGTCAGAACTCAAAGCTGTACCTCCTGCAACTCACCCAAACCGAAGCGAGAGGAAGGAGAGCCAGCTTCGCATCTGAAACGGCAAGGCCTTTTGCTGGGTTCCTGCCCAAGAGAGGCCCCACTGCAGCCCCAACACAGGCAGACTGTCGCTCAGCCTGCACCCCCATCAAAGTCAGCACAGCTTGTGCCACTGCCCAGATGCTTCTCCTGTCCTCGCGCTGGCTGAATTATTCGCCGAGCATGTACGTCTCGGAAAGGCCCCGGGG